CCCCCCCCCACACACACACACATTCCAGTCGCTCATGTAAACATCCAACAAGAGACTGTAACAAACGGCATAACTCAAGATCAGATAAACATGTGTGCAAAGTGTAAAAACCAAGCAGAAAGACACATTTTCACTCTCATACTGGAATGCAAAATAGATTTCTGTGACTAAAACAAAGTTCTTCCTGTAATAAGTAATTAGCCTTGAATCATAGATTTAATCTTAAAAATCTGAAAATAAATGCTACTGTACATGTAAAATGTGTTTTTATATACTGGTTTTGTTATTTATATTTACTTAAGTTGCTTAAGGAAACAGTAACAGATGAATTTTCTAGATGAACCACAACATAGTGCACATGTCTAAAACATGGCCGCTAGGGGGCGGTAATAAGCCGCAAACATTAAAAGCGAATGAGGAACTTTTGTCCAAGCAGGACCCCGTACTTACTAATAGATAAAAAAGATGGCGGCCGCGCTAGCAAGAAGGTTATCGGGTAATTAACAAAAATCTGTTTGCGTATTTAAAATTTGACATTCCTGTTTATTTATTTCACAATAACTAAACGTGTCTGCTCCGAAGAGAGCAGGTAATTAGCACAAATAGTGTCGTAAGTAGCAGCTTTTTAACCTTTTCTTTTGTTTGTGTGTGTGTCTTTGCTGTGTTGGACAGGGCTGCTGAGGCCACTGTCTCTGTCTGTTCGTGCTAGAACACCTGTTGTCTATGACCCATCCAGCTTGATCCAGCCTCGGCCTAACTTCAGCACCGCTGCAGCCGCTGTCCGCGCTCCTCTCTGCGGCATGGCGTGTCAGAGCCCTCGGTACAACATCCTGCAACGGTAATGACCGGAAGTCTCCAACATAACCTGTTTTTATGAAACCTTATGAGAGAATATAATTTTAGTCTTCACAGACGAATCTGAGGAGTAACCTCCTTTGATATAAAGTTATATGTTATACTGAATTAGGTGTTTTTAAAAAAATTTTTAGATGATTATTGTTTGGTGAGGAAATTTGTTGCCATATTTCAAATCCAAAATCAAAATGTTTATAAATAAACTATGAGAATATAACTATACATCACTAACTATTACATCAAATGCAAATTGAGGTGATTATAGCTAGTTTTATTTAATGAAATGTACTAGTCGTGTTTCTGACTTCCCTAACTCAAGAACTTCTACCTTTGAGTTTGATAGATAAATCAAGGCTCAGGATTACAGCTGGTAAAGGTTAACCTTTTTTTTTTTGCTGTCTATAATGTGCAAAAATTTCTGAGTCTGTGTGAGCGCTTCTATATTTACTATTCTTTGTTTTATTCAAGATGAGTTTTATTTATGTGTGTGTCTTTAATTTTTGCACATTTCTAACTTAGTAGAGTTAAATGACCGTACATTTTAAAAAAAAGACATTAAAAATTTCTGTTTTTTAGGGCATAAATCAGATCAAGATACTCTTATAAAGTAGCAGACATTATATATATATATATATATATATATATATATATATGTGTGTGTGTGCGTGTGTGTATTATCTTAAAAATGTGAACATTGTATTCACCCTTTATGTTTCCTGTTAACGGCGAACGCCTCCCAAGATGGCGGCGCGGCTTTGTTTCTGTGTTTTTGTATTTTCTGTAGATTCTTAAAGTAACATTGGCGCTTTTTTTGTGTGGTTGCAGTGTGTCAGCACTTGTTCCCAGTCTGACCTGGCAGCCGTGCAGAAGTCTGACGTACTTCAGTGTGAAGAAGGGAAAGAGGAAAAGTGTAAAATCGGTGACCCAAAGGTTCATGCGGCTTCACTGCGGTCTTTGGCTCAGACGCAAGGTGTGTCATTTCTTGCAGTAATTTTCACAGCCTTAGTATATTATACACTTAAAAGGGGAATTAAACTACAGTTTTTTGTTGTTGTTTTGGTTGTGAATAGTCTGGATACAAGAAAAAACTCTGGAAGAAGATGGCCACCAGAAGAAAGCGCCTGAGGGAAATTGTATTTTGTAATAAAACCCAGAGTCGACTTTTGGATAAAATGACATCATCTTACTGGAAAAGGAGAAACTGGTACGTTGATGATCCATATCAGAAGTACCACGATCGGGTCAATCTGAAAGTATAATTTGCACATTCTTGTTATGGCTTCTGCTGGAACAATATGTAAACATGTGCATGAAATAAAAGCGTATGTTGGAACCATTTGGTTTTAGTTTTTCTTTAAAAAAAAAAAAAAAAAGCAAAACACAACATTTTGAATTATATATTTATTAAATCGAAGTCGATTTACCTAACAGAAATATTTGAACTTGTGGCGTCATTAACCATGATGTCATCTCTCTTTTTGTTTGGACCCAAATTAAGCAGAAACTTAAGTATTGTGACATTCTGGCCTGCCAGAACTTTTTTTTTATGAGGAGGAAGATGTTTCTGTGTGTTACAGCCAACTTTAATGTAGTTTCTAAACCAAAGTATGAAAATAATCATTTACCAGCAAAGCAAACGGCTTCACACAAAACCAGTTAAATCAAATTCATACAAAGTAATAACATGCAGTGAGTATTGTGTTCTACACACACATTTATAAATTTATATTTTCACATTTATTTTTTCTGTTTCACTTTGCATTTATTTAACTGATGGAAATCACCTGCAACACTAATACTGATACCACTAACTCAAACACGTATATTTAGAAATATCCTGTTTTTTCTCCCATTGACAACATATTTATGTGCATATTTAAAGTATCTACAACATCAGACCTAATGGCGTGTAAACAGAAGAGTTGTACCTGAGAAGCTTTTGTTTTTAAATCTTCAAATTACTGTAAGAAACCGATGCATTGATGTACATTACTGCACCAAAAAAAATCTACCCACCACACCACAGTGATAGTTTGTGTAAAATGAAGTTCAGACTCTGTGACAAACGTACATAAGAAACATTGAACGCATCACCGGGAGTCGTTGACCAGTTTCAGCCACTCTCATTGATTATCCACCGACAGAAGCAGGTCATGGTGCGATAAGAGTACCGTATTTGTCGCCGTACACGTCGCACTCCCATATAAGTCGCATCAGTCCAAATATGTAATAAATAAGTCGCTTCGCCGTATAAGTTGCATTTATTATGCGTCACCGCTACCCACCCAGAAACGTGAGCTGGTGTGCCAAAATTCGATTGGCTGCTAAATGGCAGTCGTAGAAGCGTGCATGGGGGGATTTTAACAAGAATTTAACAAGATTAACACTTAAAAACAATTGTTTTTTTGCTCGACATTATAACAAAGTTGTGTCTCAGTTGAACTTTTCCTTAATAAATGCACTTTAACGGTCAAATCAGCTGCATTTCAAAAGCCGATTTGCGGCTGCGGGAGCGCGCAGAGGGAGGACTCGCTGTACATTTCTTGAAAATTTACAAAGATAACCACCTAAAAACAATTATTTGTTTGCTCGACATTATAGTAAAGGTGTGTCTCAGTTGAACTTTTCCTTAATAAATGCACTTTAATGGTCAAATCAGCTGCATTTCGCCTGGGCGGCGCAGCGAAATGCAGCTGATTTGACGTTTGCTCCAGGAGTTCCGGAGCGAGATGAAGGTGGCTTGGTATGGCAAGACAAAAGTTGCATTAATAACCACTTTTACCTATTAATGAGACACTTAATTGGCTTGCCATATTTGCTCGGGGGCCCTCTAGCGGCTGCAATTGGTAGTGTTTAATATTTTTCATGTCAGAATAATTGAAATCATTAGATCTCAGCCAAAAATTGTGTTATAAATACGGTGGGGAAAACGTATATAGTCGCTTTGGTGTATAAGTTGCAAGACTTGCAAATTTATGCAAAAAGGTGCGACCTATACGTCGACAAATACGGTAATGAGTTCAGCATCGCTCAGTCAACAAAACACACACACAGTGATTTCAAATATGGAAAAAAACAACCACATTTATATAAAACAACAAAAATCTGCTACAGCTTGACATTTCCAATTTATCCGGGAAATAAATGGTTGTAAAAATCAACTTGTTTTGTGGTGACTTTTGCTTGTTTTTTGCAAAAGTAAATCTTTTACCACAGAAGAAGCCTAAACTAATAATTACTGATAATCAAGTTAAACAAACTGTTTATTTTTGGCCGTATGACTGAAGGCGGTCATGTGAACATAGTGCAAATAGTTTTTCTGGAGCAGCGTTGTGTTGGAACCACTTCAACATAAACGGTTTGTCTCAGGTATCTCTTAAAGGCTCAAAACAAGAGGTCAACAATAAAACAGCGCTGCCGTTGCTGTCTGACAATTTGATAAACGCATATATATCTTGAAGATTAAAGGGTTTGTGATTAAAGTGAAAAAGCTAAGCTGCTCACTGATTTGCAGATTAGATTCAACCGACATCAAGTTAGTTTTGTCTATCTTAGTTAGCTTGAATCTTCTAAAGTGAGCATTTTTCATAGTCTCGGTGATGAAATTCAACAAAGGTACATTTGGTTTCATAAACATAATTACGGGGAAGACATGCGTGCGCAGGACTCTGTTGTAAAAACAAATGAAGCATGAGGATAAAGGACACACACTGTACAGAAATACATTTTCAAAAAGCGTCTATTAGTATGTAACCCGTTCACTCACGCCTGCTTTTTAATTCTTTTAAATCGTGAGCCACCTGTAACACACTGTGGGTCGAGGAGTTTTCTTAGGCCACGTTGGTAACACCGTATTCCAAAGCAGGGCTGCTTCAGTCGTGTAGCTTTTGGCCGTCCAGTATTTTTAACTTGCAGAGAAGGCAGCTGGAGGAGACTTGAGAGTTTCAAAAGGCTTCATTGTTTGAAGAGAAAGCACTCCTGGATCGAGTGAGAGGCCTCAAGACTCTACGAGGAGGCTGGAACGGAGGACAGAAACAGGAAAGTAGAGTTTGGTCAGCTTCGTCGATGGCTTCACTCGCAGGGATTTTAGAAGATTCATCAGGAACATGATTATTTTATTAGAAAAAAAGATATAAAATCATAACGTTGGGTTAGACTGGCTATAAATCTCAATGCAAGGCTCGTTAAAGACAAACACTTTTAAAGTCCCGTCTAACAAAGTTCAGTCACGTCGTCTGGACGGTTTCTTTTTGTTGAAACATTTCGTCTTTCATCCAAAAGATTTCTTCAGTTCGAGGGGGCCAGAAGACCTGACTTAACTTTGTTAGATTTTTCTACCTGGATTATTGAGGATATTTAAAAGTCCCAGTTTAAAAAAATATAACTTTTATTAAACTTTTTATTCTTTTTAGGTGAGACTTTGATTTGTTCCAATATTTGGGGGGCTAACAATACGACACAAAATTGGCAATATCAGTAAAAAATAAAATAAAAATGTTATCTTGATTGTTTTTGATAATATAACTGTTTAAAAGTCATGAAAGTCCCAAAGAAGAAGAAAGTAAAAGACTAACATTTATTACAGAAAAATAACAATTATAGTCAGACTTTTTACTGCATATTGTTACTTTTTCATTAGTTTATTTGTTTTCACAAATAAAGAAAAAAATATATGTGTATGTATAAATATATATATATATATCATTTGCAGCTTGTAACTCTTTATTCATACTTTTCTATTTTCCTGTTTCTGTCATATCTAAATATATTTCTATTTATTTGTAACGTCTGGCAACATGACAATAACCTTTTGGCTAACTGGTATTTTTACATTTCTCTAATGCTCAGTAATGTACACTAAATAAATAAACCAATAAACTAAACTCTGTTTTAAAAGAAAAAGCCATTCTTATATTAACATGGACATTGCTTATAAGCAAATAGATATTTAGATGCTGAAAATTGTGAGGAAAAAAAACATTATTTAAACAGAGATATGTTTGTTAAGCAGCACCTACAGGCAATCCATGTCCAATTTACTGTTCTCTGAGCCATAAATTATAAATAAATGTGTCTCTGCCATCACGCATTCTTCAAAAACCCTCTGTGCATCCAGGTTCTGCGTCTGAAAAGGTTCTACTGAACTTGATGACTCATATAGCAGCGCAGCAGCAGAAATCAGTCCATTAGTGAGCAAATCACTCTCAGGGGGGAGTTAGAATCAGGCAGCAGGCGTGAATACCTCAGGAGCTTTCCTCTTACTCAGCCTGAGCTGTGGAGAGCTGGACGCTGCCTGCACCTCCTTCACTAACTCCCCCTCGGGCTGCTCCAGAGCTGCAGGAGGAGCAGGTGGAGCGGGGGGTGAGCCGGACTGGGGTGTCGCAGACGGTGTGATGGGTGCGGACCCGGTAGCTGATGTTGTGGTTTGAGAGAGAAACTCTGCGGACTCCAAGGGCTCCAAGCCCAACACCTCATACTCAGTCATGTCAAAGTCTGCACCGTGGGAAAAGGTCGGTGGAAGACAGAAGAACAGATCAAACCTGACTCAGGTCTGCAGGGTTGTTCGATTGTCCAAACTGAATTATTTTATGTGTTTGCTGGACATATATGCAGCATTAATAAAATGATGACCCAATATGTTGCAGGACAAACAGGCAAAAAAAAGCTATTCTTATTAAATCCCCACGTGTACCTGCAGCACTGGAATTCTTCATCATAATGAAGCATATAAGAACAATGAATTTGTTGTACCTTAAAACTGATACAGAAATAATGTTAAAACATTTTTTTGTTTGATGTGATGTCATCTTTCAATCAACTATTTAATCAAAAGACCTGGAAGTACTTTAATTTTAAATATAATAATCTTTATATTCCAACTCTTATTTGATCCCTGCCTTTTTATTTATTTATTTTTTTCATTTTAACCAACATTATGCTTTGTTGAACTGACACCTTACGTAATCCTGATGCTATTTAAGATCACTAAATGTGTTAATCCGCAGCTAAAATTAGCAAGACGATGGACATTCTTGCAAACACAGTTGTCAGCTTTAAGGAAATAAACAAGATATTTAGAATAATGAAACAACATACATAAGACAAACTGCGAATTTATGTAAATCCAATTCAGACTGCATTTTTTTTTACTTTGCCACTGTAAGAAAAAGGAACTTGTTGAAAGATGATTATTGTGTATTTAATCCGTAGGTGATCCAGTCTTAGGTCAACAGATGAGTCTAAATGTCATTTCTCATCTGGAAAAATGAAACTGCATAAAACAAACAAAACCTGGAACAAATCCTCCCAGCTACAGGTGATTTTTGTCACAGGATGGTTCCTCTGTAAGCCCTGTGAGACCAGGCCTGATCCAAACAGGAAGGTGAGGGGACCACTCAGGAAAGAAGCAGCGCTAAACAATATTTTTGGATCTATGCGAGCCAGGACAGGAGGATGAATATCTTCATGATGTTTTTTGTTGCACAAATAGGCCGTACTTTGTGTTCTGAAATGTATATTTAATTGCAATAAATGTATTTGCTGATTTTTAATCAGTTGAGTCTCAGTGGCTTTTAGGTTTTAGTGTTGGGTGTCGGGATGGGACGTCTCCTCACCCTTGTAGCTCTCTGACTTGCTGCGGATTATGGGTCTGGTCCGGTTCTGAGCGGCTGTAGGCTGGGCCATGCCAGGTCCAGAGTCATCTGGGTCAGACTGGTAGGTCGACAGGTCCTGCATGCTGAAGCTCCTTAGTCTGTCTGACAGAACACCTTGGCCCTAAAGCAGAAACATGCAGTTTAGTGACAGCATGAACAAATACTGTATAAAGCTTTAATTACTACACATGACAACAGTTTAACTACAACAACGGCCACAGGGTCGGGACAAAACAAGTCTGCGTTACCTTTGTTGCAGCCATGACTGCAGCTGTGGCTGCGACATTTAGTCCTTTCCTACCAAAATGCACCAGCGTGTCGTAGCTTTTGTCTTTTGCTTGGCAGATGTACTCATCAATATCCTGGAAAAACACAAACGTGAACATGTTTTCTCTTATGATTGCACGGTGAATTTTAAACATATGAGATAAAGCTGTTATTTTTTTTATTGAACGTGTGATCCTAATAAGAAACTGATCCGTTTTCTGACTCATTCTGGAGCAAAGAAAGGGCAGGGGAAACGGAAAAGCACCGTGACATTTGCCCTCACTTGTTCAGCAAACACATTTTTAACAGCTAAAATGTTGAGGGCAAAGACACTTTTGTTTGCTCCGTAGATCATTGCACACATCAGACACAAAAGCATGCTGATTTACTGAGAGCCTTGACTGAATACTTTCCCTTAAGTACACCAAAGGAGACAAAGGAATACCCCACAAAGGAAAAAGGATTTCACCTTTTCTTTTGAGGAAAGCGTGGGATGGACAAATTTCCTGTAGAGCACGCTGGAGCCCTTGGTATAAGGGGACAGGAGCCACACCACAAAGGCTATCTTCAGCTCATAGTAAAACGGAAGCCTGCAATGACAAAAACACCGCAGGGTGGAAAAATATTTGCTGAAGCACAAGATGGTAAACTCTTTCCCTTGAAGCACCCAAATAATTTCTGCCTAACATCGACGGTCACTTACCAACAAAGAAACATATCTGTAAATACTTCCACTGTCGTGAATAGAGCGAATATTATCCAATACATCATCCATTTTACCTGTAAGTACCACAGAAAAGTTGATTATTAATAGCAAAACTATATATTAAGTAATAGCGGTTTTACTTTAAAAGATGTACTCACATATTCTTTTACATCTTTCGTCTTCACTGCTTTATAAGACGAGTATGCAGGGTATAGTGTACCAAAAACAAGTCTAATAAAGAAAAACATGTCCGTCAGCTCAAGAACGTCTATAGCTTTACTTAATTGTTATAAAAACCACAAGTTAGGATGATTTGCTTACAGTTTCATTGGAATAAATCGGTATGCAGTCTATAATAATAATAATTCAATTTTAAAAAAAGCAAATGAATGCTTTTCATTCATTTACTTTGACTGTTTGCGAAATATCTCATGAACCACTGCACAGATTTGAATGGAACTCTAGGGTCACCCCATTTCAAGATGGCCACCACAGCTAATAGACATTAGCCAACAGATAAACGGCTAAAACCTTGTCATTGAGCTAAAACTTGATATAGCTGAGTTGTTCATAACCATTTCCTCGAGCACACATCTTACATGACCTCACAATATTGTACGAGATTAAACATAATCACACAAGTTGACCTAAACAGCTGAAACTCAGCAACCTCAGCACAAGATGATTTTTGTTGAAAACTCTGGCATGAAAAGTGGCGGGCGATATGCACCCCTTCAAGAAGTGCTAGACCTTTTGTTCAGCATCAGGAAAACCAACCAGAGGCTCGTTTACATGCTCTTGTTAATCAGCTGACCACTAAATGCTAAAAACTGAAGAGGTTTTAAAGGAAAGTGTTTTCACGTTTTGGTTTGATAACGAAAATGATACTTGGGAATAATTTTTCATAACCATCCATCCATCCATTATCTGCCGCTTGCTCCTGAGTCGGGTCACGGGAGCAGCTTGAGCAGCTGCAGGGAGGTCCAGACATTTCTTTCCACGGCCAACTCTTCCAACTGAACTCCAAGGCATTCAGCTGAGAGACATATTAGTCTCTTCTATGTGCTTCCTTGGATTCTCTTCCCAGTTGGACATGCCCAGAACACCTCCATAACCACCTCAACTGGTTCCTCTCGATGCGGAGGAGCAGCGGCTCTACTCCGAGTCTCTCATAAAGAATTGAACTTCTCATCTTCTCTCTGAGGGAGAGTCCATCTAGCCTGTGGAGAACTCAGGGTGTATTTTTCACAACGCCAGAGTCAAATTACTCCACATATTCTGAATGAAAGGGACAGTCGGTTATTGTTTAGCAGCCAAACACTTTTTACCAAAGAGCACTGCAGTTTGAAATGTTTAAAACACACAGAAACTGGTTCGGCCTTGTTTTCCTGAAATAAGCAAGGCCTCGGGCAATGTGAGACAAGAGAGTCACATTTTCCCAAACTGATTCGACTCTACGAGCTGCCAGGCTGACAAAGCATTAAATGAACGTATGTGCTGTCATTTTTCTCAAGCAGACACCTGCAGGTTCTCTAACAGAGAGAGAGCTGAGGGAAGGGGGTGCCCAGATACAGCCAAGCAACAGCAGTGAAAGCAGACTGATCAGATTACTGACCCACCTCACGTTGCAACACTCAGGCCTGACCAGGTAACTAACAGAGTTCAGCAAGACAAGGACACTCAAAATATCAGCTCAGACTATGACTTGCATGCAGCTGAAGAAGCCCAGCGTGTAACCAGATCTTGAAATCTAAATTTATTCCCTCTATTTTAAGGTGTGCAGCCTGCTGTTGGTAAAATCCACTCAGGGTGCAGTTTTGCTGATTTGTGCAGACACAAAAAACATGCAGTGACACAGCTGCTTGATGTTTAAACATGAGGGCAATATGCACAGTTTTATGACATGAATAAGTCTTGCATTGTAACCCGAGAAGGCTGACCCATCCCTTTTGTTTTTTCTGCCAATATGGGACATCACCACTGAATATTGCTCCACTCAACCGCTCCTCAGGCTATAAAAGACTCACAAAAATCTGACTCATATAGGCCTGCAGTGGATGATAATAAACGTCATATATTTTAACTGTTTTGGGTAAAAAGAAGAGAAAATGTGCATTTGATAAACACAAAGAGTGCCCGGCTGCATGCTTTTCAGAAATAGATCAGCCTACAGGTCTACAGGCCTGGTTCAGCTTTCCTCATGAAACAATCCAGTAGAAAACAGGCGGATCAGTCGCAAATGAACAGTCAGTCACCTGATCTCCTCACATTGACGTCTGATTCTGATTAAAACAGGCTGTAGAGATGAAATTGCGGGGGTGCGTATAAAGCGCGCACCTTCTGATCCGTCTTGGATACCCGCAGCAACCTCACTTGGATCTAAATCAATGACTGAGACATTCAATATTAAATAAGATCATTAAAAAATGAGACTTACACCACAAGTCTAGAGATGATCCAGGACACCATTGCGCTGGAAAGGCGACAGGACGCGTCCTGTCTGCGGGGAGGAGTTTCCTCCAGATGACAGGCGGCGTCCGGACGCGCACAGGCTGCAACGTGATGCGGGATAAACACGCAGCTCTTGTCCATAGATGGCAGTGTTGCATTGAACAGACACGCACGAGCGGACTGGCTGAAAATTGTGTTTAGATGTGTTGATCATGTGCAGCTCAGTAACATAAGATCAGAGAACAATAAAAGTCCCACCTGACACCCATCCACGCTGAAATGGCCAAAAACCAAGAGTTTGATCTGCTGAGTTAAAATTACCCAGGGGTATCTCAGTCCAACTTTGACCCAGTTTTCCAATTTTACTTTAATAATTTTATTTACAGTTTAAGCAGATAAATGCTATCAGCCCTATAGTTTCACTGTCCTTTAATCAAACACAATGAAAGAACTGATACTTCTTGTTTTAGAAGAATGTAAAACATTAAAAAAAGCAAAAAGATATGCAGTTTTTATTTAAATAGACCACTTAATTAAACAAAAACTTGATGTTATCCTCAGAAAGGCTGGACTTGATGCAAACGGATATTAGAAGTGAAGAGATTTAGGTGGAAAAATGAGTTAATTTGCTAAACTCAACACTGAAATATGTAAAAAGTGATATTTTGTCTCACGATCAAACAAATTTGTCTCAGCAGTCAAATTTTCCAGCCTCTGTTTAAATTTGTTTATCCTACCTGCATACTATACTCAACAAATTTGAGCATACATACAAATACATCAGAATTGCTGGACTTCTTCATCCCAAATGGCTCTTCAATAGATGCCACCACTGCGGACCGTTTTCAGTCACTTTGGCTACTTCCAGAAACACATTAGCAGATGTTAATTTAGGGTCATTTTACCATTAATGAGGAAAATATTGTGCATTTCATGTTTTATTTGGACTGGTCTTCATGACTTTTGACTAACTTTTGCTATCAATCAAGCGTTCAGTATAAAAAAAAAATCACAATTTATTCCAAATTTAGCCAATTCTAGTATCAACGTTCAATAAAACTAATATTTTCAGCTCAGTGATCACTTTTAGAAGTTGTCATACATCTCACATTCTTTTAAGATGTCAGCTCAAGAATGACTTTGGACAAAGATGAGTGAAAAGACTCAAATGAGATGAGATTTTGCCTGACCTAGAACCTGAGAAAGGCCAGATTATTAGTACCTTGGCTTTGTCCATCAGCCTACAAAGTGAAGCCAGAGAGCAAGATTGAGGTTTGGTTACAGCACAACAAAAGCTGCCGAGGGAGAGGTGAGCCTGGCAGAAACTTCATCTGTTTGTACATTTTAAAAGGCAAGTGAATGCTCAAAACATGTCGGACCCAGTGTGTGCTACATCTCCTCAAAAATATTGAATTAATGCTCCTGCAAAACAAAGACTTTAATCAGCTTTGCATAACATGACACACTCTACTCGTAAGTTAAAAACAAGTATCATAATAAAATATATATCTGCTTTTAACATATAGGAGCCCCCAAAGGGCAAGATGATGAAAAATGTTATTTAACTCAAGGTTCATTCTGTTTAAGACTGGCAGCTTGTTTTATTTGACTTAAAAGGTGTTAAAATGCTGATGCAGTACACTTTTTGAGCTGCTGAGTACTGTAGCTACGTGGCAGACTCATTACCCAGAGGCTATTCTGCTGATGAGAACAGACCAAACATAAAGTGTGTGTCACAACGGACAAATATACAGTAAGATCAATACATCAAACAGAAACACGTACAACAAATGCAGCTTATTCAGAGTTATCACTTTCATTAAAACTTTATTAGTTTTTCTGTTCATTAACATAGAAAAATAGTACACACAATACTCAACAATACATAGATTCTCCTGTAATCATTTTTTTGATGTCCTCCGCATCTTTATTTGGATAAAGAACTCAAATGTGATGTATGAAGCAGCATTTAACAAGCTGAATGTTAACGCAAACATGGGGGAAAAAAACAGTACGCATGCATTTTATGCGAAGTGTACTTAACATGTATGTCCACATACAGAACAAATAGATTCTGACTGTACTGAAAATTAACACCACAAGCAAAATCTGCTCGTCAGATCTAGTGTTTCAGATATTGTAAATTATTTAGTGATGAACCAAACAGAAGTTGCATATAAAAAGGTAATACCACTGCTGACTGGTAATCTACTGCATGACAAGATGTTTCAACAGCTACACTTGTTTGACCCATTATTACCCATATACCTTCAAAACAGTCCAGACATTTAGGATAAAACAAGAAGAAATAAGCACAGTAGGCACAGAAGGCTTTTCATACTTACATTATATACAGCTTTCTTAACCTTCTGATTTACTTTGGATAATGAAGACATACCTAGAGCAACCCCAGATAACAAAAACAAACCACCTTCTCTTATGCAGTTAAAACAACAAAAACTTTAACGCCTTCAGAGCACAATGTTAACCCCAAATGATTATGTGAAAATATAGAATGATGCAGGGGGCGTTCAGTACTGTCAACATTGCACCAGAATTGTCTCTGTCCTCGTGTGAACTGACTAATAGGAGCGATTCAGCTTAGCTCCTCAGAGCTTCTAGCCTTGACTGCATCGCTTCGATGTCCTCCTCTGACTCATCCTCTGAGGCAGCAGCTGCTGCAGCGGGCCGCACTTCTGGCAGGGGATCTGTGACTTTGCTTGGAGCTTTGCCAAGGGCACCTGACAATGCAAACAGAAAAAAAGCTTTTAGTCTAATTCTAATACAATCAGCTCTAAAACGTGTTCAGTTGTTTCATTTAAAGTTATTTACCTGCAGTAAGATCAAAGAGGATCTTGTCAACTTCCTCCTCTGCTGCTTCCTCCATCTCCTCTCCATCTTCCATGCTCTCAAATGTGTCTTCCAGCATTTCCTCAATGATTCCAGCCTGAAAGATGAATAAGTATAGAATAAATTATACAGTACTAACTTTTCTTAAAGGACGTTGTGAAATAATTAATAAATTATGTTTAATCATAGTAAGTCACGGCATTCTAGCTTTTGCAGTAGCTTGATGCTGCTGCCGACCTTCATCATCTCTTTAGATAATTCCCTCATGGTAGCCTGGATCTCTGGGATTTTGACCAGACTCTGCATGGCTTTCATGACCTCTGTGCTTTTCTGCAGGGCCCCAGCTACACGAACCACAGCTACAAAAACAGACAAATACATTTCTTCATTTAAATTCCAGAACATAAAGTTGGATGACTGAAGAGAGGGATGAGTAGATACGTCTTTCCCAATATCTAATGGCACAACATTGCACTTCTACACTCACCAAGTTGATTTTTCATACTGAGAAGCACAGAATTCATTTGAGCTTTTGAGGCATAAAGTTTTGAAACAGCCCGCTTTGACTGAATCATCTCCTTTGCAAGGATCACACAAACATCTTTCTGGCCTTTTTTGGCAGCATCTTTGATGGATCGTTTCACTTTTTCTTCTTCTCTTTGAATATCTGAAAGCAAGAGATTACCATTACAAAATAACATATAGACAAAAGGTATACAACTACCAGGTATATATTCAGTTAAGTTCATATGATAATACACTTCCTGATATTTGAAGACAGATCTGAATTTTCTACATAAAACAAGATGCTTATTCTCAAGTGATGACTACTAGGAATGATACGCAACAAAAAAGCCCTTTTTTTAATTTACATATTTTAGTTGTATTAGTCTATTTTAGGACTTGTGTAAAAATGGTTAATGGTAAAAAAAGGTTTTAAGAATCACAAATGATCCACATTAATGACTCACTGTTCACAGTTAATTATTACTGATATTGTGTCATAATACATGGTTTTGTTGTTTTATTCCTAGATACCCCAATCAAGTGTTATTTTCACTATTATTTAAAAATATTTAGAAACAGCATGAAGGTAATTTTCTGAATGAATGGAAACTATTAAATGTAAAAAAAAATGTATTGTTGTGTGGAAGTATGTGAATCTTACCTCGAATTTGTCTGTCGATCACTCTCATTTCCTTTCTAATTTTTAGAGACCACTCGTTGATCTGGAATGATATTTTAAAGTAGATCAAACTGAGCTTTTTTTCCCCCTTTAACAGTAAAGAAATGTATAAAAAAATAACGTTTAATGTGTCTGTCCAATTGCTGAACTGAACAGAATCCTACTTTGTTTACATTGCTTGACAAGAGACACGTTAGCAAGTAGGCTAACTGAATCCGCCCTCTGTACGTTGTAAACGAAAAAACAACTTAAGAAATAATGTAGTTTAACGTCACAGGGACTGGTGACTCATTCACAATTAGATTAGGGTCAGTTTTTTAGTTGGCAGAAGTATTAACGGACATGGCGGACAAGCTAGTTAGCCAGTATAGCTAAAAACATCCCCGCTTTTATCTAAATACGCGCAAAACAATAAATGACAGCCCTGATGTTACACATACAATACATACCAAGTCTTTTGGTGGTTTTTCAGGTGTTCTACCGAACAACCCCATGGCGATAACAACGTTTAAACTTTGAGACAAGCTCAGCTAAGCTACCTGGCTGAAAGCAGTTGGCTAAACGAGCTTGAGGAAACACTTCCTGTTCCGCTTGGGCGGGGCCTTTGGGCTGCATTCAAACATAAAACAACCTTCACTCCGTATGGTTCTCAGCAGCCAAACATATGCTGAAGAAGAACAATGAAGCCGAAACGGAACAAGACACAAAAACCAAGGCCTAAAGTGCATTAAAGAGAATCAAAGATTTGATTATTACAAACATTTATGAAAACAACTAACTATCCAACTAACTAACTGACGTTTCTCAAAGTGAGTATACAGTTCTGTGCTAAAGTCTTGAATCATTGCTTATTTCTTTATATTCAGCTACAAAAAAAGCTTGATTTTCTTGTAATAATTTAAGTAGCTGAGAGGAATATTATTTCAGACTTTCTGAAAATCTTTCATTATTTGTCCTGATGCATATTCAATAATATAGGTAGGGACACGACGCCTTGTTAGATCTTTTTTTTTTTTTTTTTTGGATGCCACTCCATTGACTGTCCAGTGTCTGACAACTTTCCAAATGGTCAAAAGGTTCACGTTTCTAAGCTTCATATACATACACCCCCCCTGCTGGTCAAAACTTTGTCATTTCAACTTGTGCCTCTCGGCTGTCTTGAAAAATGCACTTAAATTTTATTTTGTGTAGTTTCTTCATGTAATTTTTGATTAATATTTGGTTCATTGCTTCCATACGTAATAGAAGTTTTTTTTTTAATAACAAACACTTCTCTGTATAATTTCAGTCATTAGATGTAAAAAAAAAAAGTTGCAGTGGTGGGACAGTGAATGCACTTATGAATACTGGACTCATGGTGACTGTTTTTTTTTTTTTATTATTAAGGACAAGTATTTTTTTCTACTGAGCTTGGACTCAGTCATTTTCTCACTTTGAAATTGTTTTTCAATGTCCACATGTCAAACTGACTGCAGGAACTTTCTGGACCTTGGTTTTGGTCTTTTTTTTTTTCCTCTCTCTCTCTCTCTCTCTTTTGGTTTTTGGCCTCAAACATGGCCTTAAAAGCCCAAGGGAAGCAAGAAAACAATGATTATTCATTTCAACATACCTTTCTGGTTATTATTTTTTTCTTCTTTCGGCTGCTCCCTTCTTCTGGGGTCACCACTTCGAAGACTTGGCAATTATTTTTATGCCGGATGCTCTTCCTGACACAACCACAGACCACCGAGCTACCACAGCCCTCTGTGTGGAGCACAGGGCGCCCGGAGGAGCAGATGGTGGGGGTTAAGGGTCTTGCATAAGGGCCCAGAGTGGGACAAATAAGGGTGGAGGCAGGTGTGGGTGCTTCATCTATCCCACCCACATTTTGATGTTGTCAGTACCAGGAGTTGAACCAACGATCTTTCGATCACAGGCCCACCTTCTCTAGCCTCTGCGCTACCACGCCCTGATATGTATTAGTTGAATGATGTATTGTTAATATCCTTATTGTTGTGGTTGCTTAACAAATATGAAGAATGAAAAAGCAGACCTTGGCTGCGTCCAGAAATATTTCCTCATTATTTTCATGATGAGCAGGAAAATACTGCAGCTGAGGTGGTGTGGAGGTATCTCAGTTTCTTGGAACACAACATTGGAATAGGAAAAAAAATACAGTAAAGTATAATATAAGTATAAACAGCAACAATAATAACAGCAATAACAACAATAATTTTAACTTGTATTTGTCACTTCACAACTATGATTCTACATGCCCCCCAAAATCACAAGAATAAATCAAACAAGAAAAACAATATCATAAGAACTGAGAAACAAAAGTTTTAGTCTTTTTATACAGATGGTCATTCACACCACATGTGGTACATGTGGTGGAACGAAATTATGTGCACAGGGTCCCAGTTACATCCAACAATAAAATGTACAAGAAAAACAGTGATAAGATCTGAGATCTGAACTAAGCCTAAACATCAGCATCAACATCATTATAAGGCAGTTTGCAAAATAGTTACGGACTTCTGTATCTAACCGGCAAAATATAATAATCTGTGTAATTTATTGGGATTAACCTCCTCAAAGTGTTGGCATACAGCTGAAACCTTTTTTCTTTTGGCACACTCCATGAAAATAAACTCATCTGTCAGAAAGAGGTGAAACTCCAACACAAACACGTGCACACATCAAGCACATTTAAACACACAGCACACAGAATGCTGTCATGGTCAAAGGAACAAGACAAAGAGGAAAAATTGCCAAATTCCAAATAAACTTCAGAAAATTAGAAGAAGAAAAAAAAAACTCTAAGCATGGAGAATTGTTTAAAACTTACTCACAGTGTTAAATACGATTACTATACTAATATTATTATAAATGAACAAAAATTCTGAAATGTAATGTCAATGTTAATTTTAGTCATAACTATATATTAGCACGTATTTAGGTTGTTTTAAATTGTCCTGATCACTTTTATATATTTTTTTCCTTTATTGTTTCATAACTTTAATTATAATTTTCATTTACAAAAAATATTTTTACATCCGCTATAGACTTATAAAGGTTTTTAATCAATAAACAAATTTAAGACATTATGTTTCGGGACATGCAAAGACAAAAAAATTACCTGCCAGACTGTAATCAGGGTAAACGTGCCCATTGCTGTACCTGTGACGTTTAACACGTTCCCTTTTCAAGGAGGTTCTAGATTCTTCGGTTACTGATTTGTCGCTACGCCAATCAGATACAACCCCCGGCTGGGTTTTAGCCAATCAGAGACAGCGGTAGGCGGGCTTAACGTGCATTCAGCCTGTCAGAACCGCTAGCTAATGCTAGCGCCGCCTAGGAAGAGGAGAATTCACTCTGGACACCATCGCTCCCGGGGATTACCGCTGAATGAGTTTGCTTTATCCATCCTGACTTACATAACAGCTAGTCACTCGGTTAGTCCGCCTTCTGAAAGCGCAGGTTTATTTAGCAGAGCAATTTATTTCGGACTGACATTGTATTTTTTTTTAATAGTGCGGTCTTTCGCGGACGATAACTCAAAGAGGTTAAATTAGGAGCGCTCATAATGTCCGTGGTTGGCATTGATGTGGGTTTCCAGAACTGTTACATCGCCGTGGCCAGGAGCGGAGGCATTGAAACTGTTGCCAATGAGCACAGTGACAGATGCACACCGTAAGTATGAATGTTGACAGCTCGTCACCGTCCATAGACTGCGAGGCTATTACGCAATAATGCTTGCATCCTTGCACTGGCTGAGCGGTCAGAAAGGAAGGATGGCGATGGGCCCTGCTAGTGTTGGTTTATTAGCTGCCAAAGTAAGTAGTCTTACATTAAACATGATGTCCACCTCTCTGTGCTACAAACTTCTCTGAGTTAGGCATCTTAAATGGAAATGGTGTTATTTATACCATGATAATAACGGATAACACAATGACATTGTGTCTATTGTGAAAAACTGCACCCTTAAAATCCTCTACGACCCAGGCCAGAAAGGTAAACAGGTCAACCCCTTTAACATTTATCTTTCCTTGTCAGGTATTCTCTGTCAGCCAGCTGAGTTTGCAGCAGCCTGGATGTGCAGCTGCACTAGAGATGAGGGATTATTTTTGTGGCAAGGTGAAACCAGGGAGTGTCTTCTTGTCAGTGTCAGTCACACAATGAAATGGATCTCAGTATAAAAACACAATTGTCACACAACAAGCAGAATGTTTGCGATAGTTTCGCACTTTGTAATTTTGTCCAAGCGGTGCTTAATGTTGAAGGTGAACTGATTTGTCTCACTGCCCTAGTTTGTGTTTCTTTCCTAGACTCCCTCGTGACGTTGCCTTAATCTCAGCTCTTCATATTTCTGTTCAAACGAATAAGTTGAGTCGGGGACGCCGCATATTCGTCTTACCTGAAACCGTTATACTGAAAAAGGTGGCACGCAATGATTTGAAAGTCTCCTACGCTTATATATTTTATTTACAACGAAACATAGTTAACATTTCAAAAGTTGATAAAGAAGGTGGTTTTGAATTTGACGGCAGCAAGGCATCTCAAAAATGTTGGTCCATGTTGCCCCACTGTGAAGCATTGTCTCTTCTTTTAACAACATCTGCAAATGTCGAGGCGCTGAGGAGATTCGGCGTTTTTGGAAAGGAATGTTGTCTGATGGAGGATTCAAGCTGATAAACATGGGTTTTCTTGGATGGTAACACATGTTGTTCTAAAACGTGCATATTTTCTTTCAGTTGATCTTTATAACACTTAATGCAGCAGCATAAAATCAGGCTCCACGCCCCTAAATAGTTTCATCGCTGCCTTTTTTGCACCAGCTTTTATTAGTTATATACAAACATATTTGTAAATTAGTTTTATTGGCATTTTATGCTGTGAGTGAGACATGTAACGTTGCCAGGTGTCTGAACAACTGCAGAGCTTTGCTGAAACAGTGCAGGTTAGACATATTTCAGCAAACTAAAAGCTATTTAGACCACAATGCATTGTAGTATACTGACTTTGAGCATGCACATTAGTAACTGTACAATGGTGTGGATGTGGCTGTCCATGCCATAAGCAACAATGCACCCCCATACCATCTGAGAGGCAGGGTTGTTAACATAACAGGCTGAAATGACTCTCTCCTCCTTAGTATGGAGAATGTGGTTTCCAAAACAAATGTCAAAAATTGATTCCCTTGTTCACAAAACATTTTCTGGTTTTACCCTCAGTCCTTTTTAAATTGATTTTGGCCCAGAGAAGTTGGCAGCATTTCTGACTGGAGTTCACACATAGCTTCCTCTTTGCTTGATAGAGCTTTAATCTGGACTTGTGGATGGTGAACTGTTTACAGACTGGTGAACCTCTACCCATCTGTACTTGTGAGAGATTCAGCCTCTAAAACACCTATTTTGTTGCCACTCTCTCTTAATGATGTTGCCAGTTAATGCAACCAGTGCTCCTTCAGCTGTTTCTCATTTGCACCACTTACTTTAACAGTTTTGTTGCCACTGTTCTGTATTTTTGGGGTTGTGTTGCTGTCAAAACTAGTCAAATTTCTCAGTTTAAACATTTTATTTATTTACTGTGTTTGATTGCGAATAAAATATGGGGTTTATGAGATTTGCAAATAATTGCATTCTGCTTTTATTGACATTTTACGTAACGTCCCAATGTTTTTGTACCAGTAATTGAAGTTGCATTCTAATGTGTATGATCACATTTTTAGGGCTTGTGTTTCACTGGCCTCCAAAAATCGCATGATTGGAAATGCAGCCAAGAGTCAGGTGAGCTCAACCAACGGGTTTTTGTTTCATCCTTAATTTTAGAAGTTTATATTTGTAACTTAATGAGACAAAATATGCTTTGTGTTCTCTCTTTTTTGTATCAGGCTATAACTAATTTCAAAAATACCGTGCATGGCTTCAAAAAGTTCCACGGCAGAGCATTTGATGATCCATTTGTCCAAGCAGAAAAAAACAGGCTCCCTTACAGCTTGCACAAGCTGGCCAATGGAAGCGCAGGAATTAAGGTAAAGCATTTTACGACGTCCCGCACGTTTTCTCACCCTGTCTGCTGCTGTTACTGCAGATCTCTGTCCTTTGAATTAAGCCGAGATGCTGAGCACGGAGAGTCAGTTTGCTGCGCACATCCTTGACTGGCGTCTTCCACTCACCTCTTCTTTTAAAATGTTTACAGGTGCGTTACCTCGAGGAGGAGAAAGTGTTCACAGTGGAGCAGATCAGTGGGATGCTGCTCACCAAGCTGAAGGAGACGTCAGAGAGTGCCTTGAAGAAACCGGTGGTGGACTGCGTCGTCTCTGTGAGTGACACAAAACACTCAAGGCACCCGTCAGCTCAACAAGCGCTTCCAGGAAACTCGTTGATTTCTGCTTTGTGGCTCCACAGGTCCCAAGTTTTTTCACTGACGCTGAAAGACGGTCAGTCCTTGATGCGACTCAGATTGCAGGGCTGAACTGTTTGCGGCTGATCAATGACACCACTGCAGGTCAGTGTTCACGAATGTTTCTAAAGTTATGCATCTTTTATTTTTAAGTTGGGACACAAATAAATGCTAATTCATGCTTTTATTGCCAACAGTGGCTTTGGCTTATGGGATTTACAAACAAGACCTTCCTACTCCAGAAGAAAAGCCAAGAAATGTAGTTTTTGTAGACATGGGACACTCATCATTTCAAGTCTCAATCACTGCTTTTAACAAAGGCAAACTCAAAGTGAGCATTTCCCCTTTTTCTGTCGGAAAACAATCTAATATTAGTTTTTTTAAAGTATTAGATCAGTCATCTGTGTCGTTCATCAGGTTCTCGCCACAGCGTTTGACCCATACCTTGGTGGGCATAATTTTGACGAAGTGTTGGTTGATCACTTCTGCGAGGTGTTCAAGACCAAATACAAGCTCAATGTGAGGGACAATCCGAGAGCTTTGCTTCGGCTCCATCAGGAGTGTGAGAAGCTGAAGAAGCTCATGAGCGCCAACTCTTCTGACCTGCCTCTGAACATCGAGTGCTTCATGAATGACATTGACGTCTCCAGCAAGATGAACAGGTCATTTATTTTCATACGTTTTTCCTTTGATAAGACATTTCTAATGTCAAAACCTGTCATAAATCCTTATTTGTGACCTGCAGGGCACAGTTTGAAGAAATGTGTGCTCAATATGTAGTGAGGGTGGAGGGGCCGCTCAAAGCAGCCTTTGAACAATCAAGTATGTACCTCAGATTTGTCTGAAACCTATCGTCTAAATATTGTGTAAATTAAAAACCAAGCTTGCTAGAGTTTTAGACTGAGATCATCTTCTGATGAGAAATGACACCACTTTGGTCCGACCTATAAAAAACTGTTATGCACATTCTCATGTGATATCACAAGATGTCACTCAGTGTGTGTTGTGAATGACTCTCAGCTAATAACACCTAATTTTACCAATCTGTAAAGCTGACTCAGTTATAGACATTCATTTATAGATATTTCTTTGTATTTTAAGGTCGGTTAGCTGTAGCAACCAGCTTGATTTGATATTGGTGTGGTACTTAAATGCTTGCGTGTTTATTGTTTGGTCAGAGTTGAGTCGGGATGAAATCTATGCAGTTGAGATAGTTGGAGGAGCCACGAGAATCCCGGCTGTCAAAGAGAGAATCTCCAAATTTTTCTGCAAAGACATCAGTACCACACTGAACGCTGACGAAGCTGTGGCACGGGGCTGCGCCCTTCAGGTACAACTTTCAACACCAGCAGCTATTGCATGATTTATAAGGAATATGGTTCTAACCAAACTGTGCAGTTAACTTGTGTTTATTTGTGTGGTGTGTTCGGGTGCAGTGCGCAATTCTGTCTCCAGCTTTTAAGGTTCGAGAATTCTCTATTACTGACGTGGTTCCTTTTCCTATAACTCTGCGCTGGAAGTCTCCAACAGAGGATGGACTGGGGTAAAACATTTTTTGAAGCAATAGCCCAAAACACAAAGTAAACAATAGAAACTGTATTTTCTGGGGAAATATAGGAAAATGCTGCAAACTGAACGACTGCTGAATTTTGCTGAAGAGCTCAAACTGAGCTGTTCAAGCTAACAGAGGCAAACGCTAGTTTAACGCTAGAAGGAGCAAAGTGCTAGCTAAAACTAGAATTAATAAATAAAAATAATAATGAATAAATAAAAACAGCAAAAGGCTGGCTACAAGCATAAAGTAGCAACGAATAGCTTAAAGTAGCTTAAGGTGAGCTAAAAGGTAAATGGGCAAAGGGGTAGTAAAAATAGCGACATTTTAGCTATATGCTAAAAGTAGCAAACGGCTATAAGCTAAAACTAGCATTTAGCTAGCCTTTTGCTAAAGTAGTAAAAAAGCTTCTCATATTTAAAGTAGCAGATTAATAGCTGAAAACTAAACGTAGCACAAGAAAACAAAACTATAGCAAGTATGCTGAAGCAGCTTTCAATGAGAACAATGTTTTTGAAAGAATTGAAGTTTTCACTCTATTTCTATAAGGAAATAATTTTCTGTGTTTTCACGCAAAATTTATTTTAAGTAAATGTAATTATTTTGAAAATAACAAATTGAATGGCTAAAAAAAAGCACAGACTTTGCAACTACCAGTAGTTAAATTGCAAAAAAAAAAAAAAAAAACGTTCAGAAAAATAAACATGGGAAAAAAGGGGAAGTACTAAATTAGTATTCACACAAATAGTATTTTGTAGATGTTAGTTTTAAAATTGAGCCACCAGGGCTAAAATACTAAAATAATGCCTACTGTGATTTAACATCCAAACCCTGACTCTTGCTTTTTCTTTTGTCACAGGGAGTGTGAAGTATTTAGTAAGAATCACGCTGCTCCTTTTTCCAAAGTGATCACTTTCCACAAGAAGGAGCCCTTTGATCTGGAAGCGTTTTACAGCAGCCCTCAGGAGCTCCCTTACCCCGACCACAGAATAGGTAACGATGCTAACTCTGCTCCTTGGAGCTCCCTTTGACATAAACGTGCTGATCTAGAGCAATTTAAAACTAGACCGCAATTAGAAATAAAGCTCGCACAGATGGACTGCAATGACTCAGCCATGCTCTCAGTTGGGATGTCAGTTATTTCAGCTTCTTCTCATCTGAACTACTGCCACTAAAATATCAGAACAACCTGCTCACTTTTTCCCCCTTATGCTGTTGCCAGGCTGCTTCTCAGTGCAGAATGTGGTTCCTCAGCCAGACGGAGACAGTTCCAAAGTCAAAGTCAAAGTGCGTGTCAACATTCACGGCATCTTCAGCGTGTCCAGCGCGTCACTGATTGAGAAGCTGAAAGGGGAAGGAGAGGAAATGCAAATCGAGTCAGAGCCAGTGCTGCAGAATGAAGGCAGAGCAGAGGAGCAGGTGAGACATAAACTGACACAGCTCATCCTGCTTTTGTAATTAAGGCGTTGGAGAATCAGTCAGAGAAATGTGATACAGGAAGTGTTGGATACAAACGATGCTTGAGGAACTGTAATGCCATCAGATATATTTTTTAACTTCAGTGAAAATCTAACGCATCGCAGAGATCGTGTAAAGGTTTTTGCTTTTCAAAGATTTTAACCTGCAATATAAGCATCTACTGTTTATGCATCTTATATTGACTCAGTTTGAGGATGTGAACATCTATGTTCGATAACTGCCTGAAAATATATTTTTTAATTTCAGCAGAAAAAAAATGCAATTTAGAATTTAAACCATTGTGTTGCGATTTAGACCAAAATACAGGTGGACCAGGAAGGTCAAAGCCAGGGGAGCCAGCAGAACGAGGACACTAAGGTTAGTTTGGTTTCTTTTTATGAAACAAAGGAAAATAGTATGTTGACATAAAGCAAACCGAAATTCTTTTTTCCTAAACAAACAACATACTGATGTTTTAACAGACTCCAGTCCTGTAGGTTTAAAGCACATGGTCCACACTAACTTTTAATGTTATATAAAGCAAACATCTGCAGACATATTTACGTTCAGTAAGTTGACGTGAACATTGGGATTATATAAAGAATATTTAGCCTGCAGAAATCGATGAGCATCAGGCGTGCAAGGTTCAATCGCTGCTAAAAGGCATGCTTTCTGCACGTTTTGCTTTCTTGCTTCAGGAAGGGGCAGCTGCAGAAATGCAGGATCCATCAGCTGGAGGAAGCAAGCCAAAAGTCAAAGTGAAGAGCATTGATCTTCCCATTGTGGCTAACAACATCCGGCAGCTGGACAGCGACATTCTTATTAACTTTGTGGAGTATGAGGTGAGAGCTGCTGCTGCTCTTTGAACACCTGACTTCAATTTTATTATCAAACTAACATTTCCTCATTCAGACATCAGGATTTAATAAAAAAAATTACAGCAATGTGTGACTAAAGCCATCATTTAAAACAGATTTTTATATACCCGTGGAGGTTATGTAAGCTAATTTCATTTTAATTATGTTTTTATTGTTTTATTTTTACCGCACAGCGCCAAATGATCAGCCAGGACAAACTGGTAAAAGAAGTAAATGATGCTAAAAATGCCGTGGAGGAATATGTGTATGATCTGAGGGAAAAACTCTGCGGGATTTATCAAAAGTACATCACTGAAGAGGTAACTTTCACCTTTTTTATTATGTACGGAGCTGCACAAGAACAGTCAGCCAGTGAAATGTAATAAAGATGATTATGACTGAGAACATTTACTTAGCTTCTGATCTTCTGACGTCTAACAGGACAGTAACCGTCTGACACTGATGCTGGAGGACACAGAGAACTGGCTGTATGAGGATGGAGAGGACCAACCAAAACAAGTCTACGAGGAGAAGCTGGGTGCACTCCAGGTTCGTCTTCATTCGTTCATTTATTATATTCAGTCATATTATCACAAACATAAAGATATCTACAGTTTTAACGAGGCAATGTTCATTTATAATAAATCTTGTGACTTCCCAGAGGTTTGGTCAGCCCATTCAGGACCGGCACAGAGAGAATGAGGACAGGCCAAGAGCTTTTGAAGAGTTGGGCAAGAAACTTCAGCTCTACATGAAGTTTGTAGATTCCTACAGACAAAAGGTAAACTCTCTCAAATTGCTTATAACTTTAATTTATACTAAAAAAAACAGCATTAACAGATAATGTATAATTTCATTTTACTGTAGGTAGAAGTCTCCAATATGGTGCAAAATAATATACATTTTGTACATCTTGGAAATTGTTGATTTATTATCACTTTCTTAAGTGTTTTTGTTACTTTTCTAGTGTCAAACTTTAGTTTTAGTGGACAACAATGGTGTAGTTTTAGGTAAAAGAGGTAAAATTGAGATTTGCCAATGATTTTTTTCCTTTGTCTTTTTCAGGATGAACGTTTTGTGCATTTAAATCCAGACGAAGTAAGCACCGTTGAGAAGTGTGTGAGTGAAAGCATGGGCTGGATGAACAACAAGATAAATGCACAGAGCAAACTTGCAATAACTCAAGACCCAGTGGTTAAAGTAGCAGATATCATTGCAAAAATCCAGGTATGAGAACATTTATTAATCAGCTTATTTTTGCCATTCATTAGTGAGCCTTAAAAGTGTTCATTTTGCTTTGCTACCTGTTTCCAAACCAGGAACTGGAAGGTGTTTGTAATCCAGTGATCAACAGGCCAAAGCCCACAGTGGAGGAGCCACCTGAAGTGAACGACCCCAACAGTGGAGCTCATAACGGTCCAACATCTAATCAAGAAGCAGAAGGGCAGGGAGAAGCAAAGGGGAGCCAGCACACGAAGCCTGGCACAAAACACATGGAAGTAGACTAAAGATTTGCCTCTAATAAGCAAACTCTTCAACCAGTTCACCATCACTCGCTATTTAGACTGTAGCAAGAGAAATACTGGGACCATTTCTCAGTTCTCACCAGTCATCTCAGTGGAATTGTTTTTGTCTTTTTCCAGTGGACTTTACCTTTTTGAGGATTTTAAATTCACCCTATCATTCCTATGTGCTACATACAGTGCTGTGCTTTATTCTCTCGAGATCTGACATACCTAAGAAATTAAAGAATTTTGCTTTTTATTTGATTCTGATTGTGACATAAGGATGTTTTCTTTGTACTTTGTGTTTATATTCCACATTATTTTTAAGTTTCTAGAATCAATTCCTATAATTAGTACTATTCAGCCTATTCAAGTACGTAGTTGATGGCTATGTTTAGAGCTTGTAAATATTATTTTAGTAAATAAAATCATATTAAATAAAGAGCATGTTTCTAATATTAAATTGGAAATGCTTAAAACACCAAATATTTTATTACCTGACTAGCCATTTCTTTTATTTGTTTTCTTGCTATTTTAAATTTAAAATATGGAATGTCAAGAAGGCTCAAATTAATATATATTTTTAATCAAACAAAATGTCTTAACTCTTAATTTGTATTTTATTTTAAGCAAAATAAACAAAATAAATTGATTACATGAATAAAGACTGGATCTAGGTGAATTCTTGAAACGTGACCAGAACTGTAAAAAAACAAATAACTTACTAACTAAGAAGTTACTAACAACTTAATATCTATTACTGTACATTTAAAATTTAGGGCAGTTTAATTTCCTTCAAAACTGGAAATAGAAATAAAAATTATGAAATGCACGTTAAGTTAACACACAAACACATCTGCTAACGATTCCCCTTATGTAGACTAAATTGTCTAAATTAAATATATTCTAGAGCCATAAAGATTATGAAAACAAAAACAAACATATTAACCAAATAGATAAATATTTAAAGTGTAGGGTCCCTTTAAATGGGGGCGTGGTTAAATCGCTTGTTATCAAGTGACGTAGCACGTTACGCAGCCCCGAAGTAACGGGCGGATATTTTCAAAATGGAAGAAATGACAAAGTTTTGGAGGGGAACTGGAGAACTACGAATATTTGCACCCTGAGAGTCCTTTCATCACCTCTCCATGAACTCTGCCGAGCGGGGAACTTTTTTACAAGTCTGCATGCATCTGAGAGGACAACACCCGGCACGATGAGCGTCTCAATCGGTGACAAAATCGAGGTGAGCTCCTTTGGCTAGCACAAGCTAACGTTGACTCGGAGTGGTGCTAGCTTTAAAGGCTGCGGCGGCTGTTAACGGTGTTTGGGACTACGTTTAATGTAAAACTGCCTGAATCGACACATTTAATAAATATAGCCTGATATAATTTAGAAAATGAGCTGTCTAGATACTAAGAAAGCTAGCTTAAACTCCGCTTCTGCACTTGCAAGCTACGGTTTTAACCGACTATTGTTGTTATTATTTTCACGGAACATGTCTGCCAATGTTTCTATGTCTTTACCTGGTTGAAAGCCCCAGACTCTTGGGAGAACAGAGCATCAGTTTGGCAGCCCAACATGCTGCTTGGAAACGGGTTCTCCATCAGCGGGAGTGAAGCCGGGATAATTACAGGTTCTGGTTGGCCAGATGATGGCGTCAGGTGCTGGTAGCTTGTTTGACAGTTACTGGTTTGTTGTGCTGTGAGTTCATCCCCTTCTTGGTGTCATTAGTGGCTGGGTTGTTCCAGTAAACACCCAGCATGTCGCAGGCTGTAGGGACGATGTATGATCAGACTCTGACCTATTTCTTTCAAAACATCTCTGTTGACACCTGGGCCAGCAGAGATGATAAGGAAAGGGTGTCGAACACACAGGAGCTCAGGATTGAGGTATCTGCTGTTAAAGAGTCTGTTTTAAAGAATTAAGGAGGAGTGATCAGCAGAAGATAATGCCTTGTGCTTGTTTTTATTTCTGTGCTTTCAGGATTTTAAGGTCCTCACCCTCCTTGGCAAAGGCTCTTTTGCGTGTGTCTACCGAGCAAAATCAGTCAAGACTGGTGTGGAGGTGGCTATCAAAATGGTAAGATAATTTTATGTATTTCTCAGGCTGCTTGATCTTAAGTGTAGACATTGTAATCAACTCACAAGCTGTTGTGTGAATCTGACAGTTGAAGCATAAATGTGAACTGTTGGGATATTACACCATATGCACCTCCCTTGGGCTTTTTGTGGTCCCTCAGCGCCACAAACCCACTCGTTCACTGTCCTTATAGCAGACCCAAACACTCTGCTGTATGATTGTCCCATAATGGATTGTAATCCTATGGGAAGCAGGGGTATAATTATCTTGCTGTTCCCATCTGCAGATTGACAAAAAAGCCATGCACAAAGCTGGGATGGTTCAGCGTGTGACAAACGAGGTGGAGATTCACTGCCGACTCAAACATCCTTCTATACTTGAGGTAATGTCAGCAGGTGGCTGAGGAGTTTGTAATACTACGCTGTCTTGTAATAAACTACACCAGGTTGGTTGTGTTATTAATGTGTTCATCTCTTTATTAATATATATATATATTTTTTTTAAATATGCATACATATGTAGATCAGCTTCATGTTAAAATAACTGTATTGTGTTGGTATTTATTGCTTCAGAGTTTGTGGACCACCTCAGCAGCCTGTGAGCTGAAATTTAGATCCACGTGTTCCATATTTTGCTTGCCTGCACATTTATTGTTGGTCATGTGTTTTTAAAGCTCTACAACTACTTTGAGGACAGCAACTATGTGTATTTGGTGTTGGAGATGTGCCACAATGGAGAGATGAGTCGGTATCTTAAAGAGCGAAAGACGCCTTTCTCTGAGGATGAAGGTCAGGCAGAAATATATGTAAACACTTTAAAGAAATCAGATTTATGTTGTTGTTGATGTTTGTCAGCTTTGAGGCTGGCTTGCCTTTTTTTAATGATTATTTGTTTCATTTCACAGCAAGACATTTCATGCATCAGATAATGAAAGGAATGCTGTATTTACATACTCATGGCATCCTGCACCGTGATCTGACCCTGTCCAACCTTCTGCTGACGAGCAACATGAACATTAAGATAGCAGATTTTGGCCTCGCTACTCAGCTCAAGCTTCCAAATGAAAAGCACTTCACCATGTGCGGGACTCCCAACTACATCTCCCCAGAGGTGGCAACCCACAGTGCACACGGCCTGGAGTCGGACGTGTGGTCACTGGGGTGCATGTTCTACGCCTTCTTGATGGGCCGCCCCCCGTTTGACACGGACACAGTCAAGCACACTTTGTCTAAGGTGGTTCTCGGGGACTATGAGATGCCGACGCATGTTTCTTTAGAAGCTCAGGACTTGATCCATCAGTTGCTGCAGAAAGACCCCGCCCTGCGGCCCAGCCTCTCCGCAGTTCTGGACCACCCATTCATGACCCAGAGTCCACTGGTCGGGACCAAAGAGCCAAGGCTGGGGGATGATGGGTCCATAGACAGCGGCATTGCTACCATCTCAACCGCTTGCACCTCCTCCACCTCTGCTGGTAGCGGCACCCGACTCCAAAGGCGAACCAAGCACGTGATTGGTTCAGCTCTGCCCAATCGCATGTTGCCAAGTCTTCAACGCCAACCTAACAGTGCCTGCTTTGAGGAAGGGGACCAGAGGCATCGACATCAGGCGCCAGACATTTTGTACAGAGACGGCAGGAGCAGAGTTGTTTATGGTGGGGAGGGTGGTCAGCCTCATTCCCGCTTCCTGAGGCGGGCTCATTCATCAGATCGCTGCGGTGCAACCCCAGCAGGACAGACTTCAGCTGAGCTGGGGAGATGTCATTCAGAGGAGACTCTGGCCAGTGTCGGACTCCCCATCTTCCCCACCTCCTCTACTCCACAAACATTTTCAGAGCATGGCAGGCTTCCTTCCCCTCCTGTCAAACAATCTGCAAAGTAAGAAGTCTGTTTAAGAGCTGTTCTTTTTTTAAACTTACTTGTCACATTAATTCATCTTTTGTTTTTGTTTCAGTTCTGGTTATTTAACAACAGAAATGATACACCCACCAAACTTACAATATCAGGACATGGAGGGAGTTTCTAACTGGCTTAATAATGAAGGTAACATGAGCCTTTTCAATGCTATTTGTATGTTAAATTGTTTGTTAGCTTGAATTTGATTTAACAAATGTTGTTTTTTCAGCTCTTGGACAGAGGCCCACCGACAGCAGCACTCACAGCGATAGTGGCAGCTTCCACATCAGCAGAGGACCTTTAGGAGGTCCCAGTTCCTGGTCAGAGCCCATGGGTCGAGGTGTGCACCCTCACCACAACCAGCACCACCTGCATAACCAGCTTCCCCCCAACCTCGACTCATACAGAGAGAACACACCTGGAGCAGAGTTCCAGCCTCCTCACAGCAGGGACTTAAAGCTTCCTTCATCCAAACTCACTACAGACAAGAAGAAAACACTGAGAGACGTAGTCCCGCCTCTGTGTGCGTCCAGACTCAAGCCTATCAGACAGAAGACCAAAAACGCAGTTGTAAGATTTTGCACACTCTTTTTTTTTTCTTAGAGCAGTTAAAATACTTATAATTCATAATTATGTATTTCTGTCTTACAGGTGAGCATCCTGGACTCTGGTGAAGTGTGCATGGAGTTGTTAAAATCCCAAACTGGGCAAGAAAGAGTCAAAGAAGTCCTACAGATTTCCTGTGATGGTTCAATGGTACTATTACACTGAGAAAAACATGCAGGAAGTTAATATGAGCCTGGTACATGATAGTATTCCAATGTATGAATTGTGCTTTAATATTGCCATTTGTTCCAGGTGACAATTTACCAGCCCAACGATGGAAAGGGTTTTCCTGTGCTGGACTGCCCTCCAGCTCCACCAGAAGATATTCTCATCTGCAGCTACGAAGACCTTCCAGGTATTTAGATGGACCTGTCCCATCCTGAAACCTCATATGGTTTAAAATAAACAATTAGCCTCAGTATTTAAATTTTTTTTGCAGAAAAATACTGGAAGAAGTACCAGTATGCCTCCAAGTTTGTGCAGCTTGTGAAGTCCAAGACACCTAAAGTAACACTTTACACTAAATATGCTAAAGTGATGCTGATGGAAAACACCCCCAATGCAGATCTTGAAGTTTGTTTTTATGATGGTGAGTCAGAGATGAATAATAAAATGTGTGATTCCCACAAAAACGTTGGCTGACCTCACACTTTTTTTTTTGTGTGCCTCATTTAGGAGCGAAAACCCACAAAACGTCCGAACTGGTGCGAGTTGTGGAAAAGAGTGGGAAGTCATACACTGTGAAGGGGGAGGTAGGGCTGAGCGGCCTCAGTCCAGAAAGCAGGATGTATGTGGAGTTATCTGATGAAGGCCACAGCTTGTGTTTGTCACTAGAGGCCGCCATCACAGCAGAGGAGCAGCGGAGCGCCAACAAAGTTCCTTTCTTCCCCATCTCCATTGGCAGGTGAGAGAAAAACTCTTTCTGTTGTAATAAATCGCTTTAAGGCTGATACAGAATTCACACGGTTGTTTTCCTGCTTATAGTTTGTTCCTTATGTGTTTTTGGACTCAAACTACTTCAGCATACATTGAACTGTTTCATCCATCTGTATCAAAACACTCAGCTTGTTCAGAACATCCTGACTATGACTTTTGGTTTTTCTGACTTTTCTACTTTTTGAAATATTAAATGTTATGTAGCAAAGTTCATGCTCAATAATCCAGGTAAAAATCCAGCAATGTTCAGCAGGTCATCTGGACGGTTTCTTGTTTTTGCTGAGACATTTTGTCCTTCATCCAAAGGACTTCTTCAATCTGAGGACACGCCAAACAAACAGATTCCCACAAGCAGCATACTCCACAGTGGAAAAAACCCAGTTTGCTGACCAGCAAACTGGGTTTTGCCGTCCAGATGACCTGTCTAAACGTTATTTACTTTTTCTCCTCGACATGCCATGAGATTTTTAAAAAAAATCTTTGGAAAAGTTTGTGCCTTTTCAAATATATCCATATTTAGTTCATGTTTGTCTCATTTTCATTTTGTTTTCCTATGCTTCTTTTTGCCATTTTCGTCTCCTTAGGCATCCTTTTTAAGTCTTACACATCCTTATTGTCTTTTTTTTTTATTCTGTTTTTTTATTTATGGTTCATTTTGTCTCCTTACACCATTTTTGTCTCTTTGGATGTCCTTTTCATTTTTTGTCTTGTTTACGACCATTTTTTTTCCTTAGCCTCCTTTTTTGTCTTTTGTGCCTTTTTATGGATTGCCTTGATCTCTTTATGCAACTTTTTTTTTTTTTTGTCAGTTTTGTTTTTATGCATCCCTTTGGGTCTACTTTTGCACATTACAGCACTCCATGTTCACCCTGCATTTATCACAGAGACAGTTCTTTCTGTTTTGTCTTGTTTTTAAGCGACACTTTGTCGTGTTCTCTTCCTCACAGGAGACCTACCAGCTCAGACTCTCCATCCTTAGTGCCTGCGCCTTCGCAGCAGGTGCCTCTTGATGTAGTGTCACCTCCTAAACCTCCACAAATCACTCCTTCAGTAAGTGTCTCTGCACACAGGGTCCACAAACAGAATTCACTGAGATTACAATTTAAAAGTAAGACGTAAGCTGGATTTTCAGGACAATGTTCCAAGAGGATTAAAATGTCTTCCTATGCATTCAACAGGACAAAAACAGTGCTATTGCTGTATTTTTCTGTGAATTTGTTTATGTTGCATGTAATTAAAGCAGCATGAAGTAAAGCCAGAATGCTGCTGGTTCCACTGCAGATACTAATAATACATTTAAAACTAAACACACCTGTGCAAATGCTCACCTTAAACTCGGTGGAGCTTGTTTGATTTTTCACTATCATGTTACTATTTGCTTCCAGATGATATCCTACGATGGCTCTGATTTCACCACAGCCAGCCTGAGTAAGAAATGCTCTCCGCTGCAGCCAGACCTGACTCAGAGCACAGGGAAGGTGGTGAAGTCCATATTTGTGCCCAATGTTGGATGGGCATCCCAGGTACTGGATTAACTATTTCACTTAATACTCTGCTGAGAACATTTGATTTGATTTTTTGAAAATGATTTAATTTCTGCGTTTTACCCTGAAGCTGACGAGTGGGGAGGTGTGGGTGCAGTTTAATGACGGCTCTCAGCTGGTGGTTCAAGCAGGAGTTTCCTGCATCACGTACACGTCTCCAGAAGGGAGGATAACCAGGTCAGAGCTGAAATTTGATGTCACTTTTTGGTTAAACACAACGGTGTTTAGTTACAGCAGCTAAGAGGTGTCCACTCTGCAGGTATAAGGAGAACGAGAAGCTGCCAGAGCACGTCAAGGAAAAGCTGCACTGTCTCTCGTCGATTCTCGGACTGCTGGCGAACCGATCAGCACGTCACCTCCCGGCTCATTAAACACTTGAAAGTAGCATTAGTTCCCTGTGTGACCTCATCGGTCTGCTGTCCCTGTAAATATACCTTCTATGTGTTGGTCAGTTTTACGTGTACAGAGGATTATGAAGAGTTTTATTTTTTTATAACCTGACTGTTGTATAGTGTCTAAAATAGCTGTTAGAAGTTTCCTTTTTTTATTTCCTATGAACTGCGACTGATGGATGTGGATACAAGAAACATCTGGAGACTGGATGGAGAACTGCAGCACTTGTTTGTGGTTTCTTCTTTTGAACAACACATCTACTGTGAATGAAATTAAAATCTGGAAGGAACCTAAAACACAGTATGAATTAAAACAAAGAAGGTTTCACATGTTTATTTTGATGAACGGATTGGCCCTTTAATTAAAAAAAAAAAAAAAAAACTGGCCACAATTGTGAATTCTTAATTACAGAACGTATACAAAACTTACTGTATGGCTGGATGTAAGCCTAGGCGCATATAAACAATGTACAAGACACCCAAGAAGTAAACATTCATGTGGAAGCTGAGAACATGACACTGTCTGGGTAAGAATTTACTTATTTTTTACCATTTAGAAGAACAAAGGACACGGGATAGTGGTGTTCAGTGACATCAGCCCTCCAATCTGAACATTCTCCTGAACCTGCTGTAATTTTTAGCCTCGTGTTTTAGAAGTGATTTTTAGGTGGAAAAATGGATTCCTCAGTATTGCCGTTACTCTTGTCCCAAAGAGCAGCAGGGTAGTTGGGCTTCTTTATAACCACAGTGCAAAGAGGACAACTCTCCAGAAAAATAAAACGGTATAAAGGACCACTCCGGGATGGCAGAAGCAGCAAAATCAGAGAAATGTAATAAACAGAAGGCTGATACTCTTTAGATTAAGAAGTGTCCCTTTTACCTCCGAGTAAAACATTCACTTGTTCCAAAAACACCACTGCTTTAATATTTATATAAAACACCCCCCATACAATCTCAATAAAATAAAGTTACTCTTTATAGATGTCAAGACAAGTATTAAATTGGAGTAAAAAATAATGATCTCACAGTGAACATTGGGAACAAGAGCTTGAACCACCTCCCACAATTTCTTTTCCTTCTTTTGACCCAAAAAGTGACGTAAATGCAGCAGCTGGAAGAGAAAACGAGTCAAATCTGAGCTCAGAGCAAATGAACACACTTTACTGATGACTTGGTTAACAGAAGAGCTGTGATAATGTTCAGTAGGCAGCTTCTGTGGGGGTTCTTGCATACATACAACCTACACAATTTTTAAATTCAAAGGTGACAAGTTATGCAGCAGCTCTGCCTCACATCTTCCAATCAAGTTTGCCTCATGTTATAAATTTAAAATCTAAAGACAGCGCGCGTTGATGCAGGAGACAAACTCTTAATGGGATGCGAGGAATTTCATAAAATCTCTCTGGAATATTGAAAATAATCACGGGATTTATCCGAAAACACATCTGCAAGCAGAAAAACGGGGGAATGATCCAAACGTCTGGCACCGTACAGAAAAAAAACAGACTTGAAAAATCAAACGCAACTTGTTGGTCATGAAGATTTTCCTTTTTTCCCTCCATTTTTAACTGTTCACTGTATTTTTATTTATTTATACGAAGCAAAACTAATGGCACTTAGAAAAATAAACAGCTCGCGTTTGTTCTGAAACTGATCCCAAAGTCATCGGCCCTCGTTGTGTCACGCTCACATGCAGCCTGGGATCATTGGATCGAACGCCCGGCCTCCTCTTCCGTCAGTGGTTTCAACCAGAAAAACACGCGGCACCGGCGCGGTTTGTTGCAGCAGAAACGTGCCTGCGTGGAAAAGTTTTCGTGTGAGTCGTACATTGCACATTTAGTGGTGAGGCTCTCTTCACTTTGGATTAATCGTCTATCTTTTATCATTAGCTACCTCATCTGGACCCTCCATTACAGAAATCTCACAAAAAAAATAAAATCAACTATTAGGCGAGAGTTCCCAAAAGTTCACATTACAGTACTGTTAAAGTCTCATTAGACAAACAAAAAATACAAAAGAGGAAAAAAAAAAAGCTTACACCCAATCACCAATATTTTCAGTAAATATAGGAAAAGGCTTATTTTGATTAGATACATATTAACATCATATTTAATTTGTTTATTATTCATTATTATTCTCGGCACCACTGTACAAACAGATGTTTGTTCAGGGCTTAAACGGTGAGGAGGGGGTCAGTCACTGGGAGGACGCCTTGGTCGCTATCGTGGAGACACAGTGCTGCTGAAAGTTTGGAGACACGGTCGAGTTGCAGCCCAGTCTCTGCAGCTCTTTCCCCCGCATGCTGCCGCAGCAGCCCGAAGACGGCGGGGCGGGGCCCGGTACCGTGGGGCTCGCCGGCAGCTCTTTGGATTGTTCGTCGGCGGGAGCAAAGTCGGGGTTGCGGCTCTGGAGCTCGCCGCTTATGTGGTTCAGCAGGTCGTTGAAAAACTCAGGGACGCCCTCGTAACCTGGAAACACAGGACAACAACTCAGGACTAGTTCAGAACAAACAAGTAAACAAAAATCTTAAATTAGAAATGAGCAGCTTGGTCAAAGCATTACTGGAACGCAAGCAGCTCTGCAAACAGACCGAAACCCTGTAGGGTAAAAATGAGTTTCCTCCTCTGTGATGTTCTTCTAGCTCTTCAGCGCAGCTGGCCTCAGTTGTTAAAAGTTTCCTCGTTTTCTCTTCATCCGCTTTCAAAAGCTGCTGGTTTTCTGTTGATGTGTTTATCTGTGCAGTGAAACACTACCTTCACTTCTGAAACTTTAAGAGTCGTCTTTAACTTGTAATAAATCTATATTTACTCTTGTAAAGCCTTCTTGGTTTATAATTTAGAAAGAAAGGGTTCTTTACTTGGCCGCCTTTTATTTAAAATGATGGAAATTATTAGATAATATATAAACTATTGTCATATTCTCTGGCTATTAAGGGTTTATTTTGTTGATTATAACAAATACGTGTTCTTCTTACAGTGTTTGAACATTTGGACTAATTAGTCTCTGCTTTAATTTACAGTAATTGTAGAAATGATTCAGTGTTCACATCGTCCTTTTCCTGCACGTTATTGCAATTTAACTTTTGCTTCCATTAGCTTCTAGTTAATTTGACTTCTTTAAGCTTTTAAGTCTTTTACACCTGTTAAGGAGAAATGTTTTAGCTGCTTAAATGATGAACCCTCAACTGTTTAACTACATTTGAGTTAAAATGTTTTACACAGTCAACTTGTAACCCTTTTATATAAATACTTTTAAATTAAAGCAGAGTTACATCAAGCCAATGATTATGCGACAGACTTTCTTTTTTTTCATTAAAAGGAGGTTTAAATAAATATGTTCTTCTGTTTATGTGCAAATAACACAAGAACGAAAAGCAGCACGTACCAGGAAATGCGTTGATGTCAATGACCGCATGCTGTCCTGTTTGGTTGTTGATGATCACATCAATGCCAAACAGAGACACACCCAGCGCCTGTCTCAACAACCTGGACAGCTCCCTGATGACATCATCATTTGGCGGCTGAGACACTCCCTCGATGTTTTCTCTCTGGGGTGATCCAAATATGAGAAAACTGTTTCACCAACACAGCTCATAACTTAAACAAAACAAAAGTCCACATTGGTTGAAATTCTGGACATACTGAGGTCAAGTCTGAGGATGACTCTGGTTTGGAAACGTTGTGACTGTTGAAGAAGATGGCTTTCCTGTCTGAGAGGAGAACAAAAGAAAGGAAAACCGAGTTTAAGCTTGAGGGCAAATCCAAACAGCTCTAATCAAGGACAGTAGATGGCAGCAAAGCTCAACTGGTTACCAAGAATAGTAATAATAAATAAAAGAAAATAACAGAATGTGATTGTTTATTGATTTATATACCTGGGGGGGGGGGGGGGTAAACTTTTTAAAGACAAAGACAAATGTGCTAGGTTGATTCGCTTCTCCTTTTCTATATTTTAACCACAAAAAGTAAGATGAGGGGTAATTAAACTCAATCATCGTCCAAATAAATCCGCCTCTCAGCACGTACTCTGTTGTGGAAACAACAACACCTAAGATCAGCTCCTTCACGCTCACGATTGATGAATACAATTCAAGTTTGAACTTAGAGAGAGGAACAGCAGAATGTAGAGACCGTCACCATATTGTTGTTGCAGTCTAACCTGTTTCTCTTTGATGCATCCTTTGCCACTCCTGTCTAGGCACAAAATGCTTAATGCTGCAAAGAACAAAGATTGAAGCCCTGTGAGGTTGCACTGCTGGGGTATGCTGCTTTTTGTGTTTGACATGGGCCTAATTTGCCCGTCTTACCAGTCTGCATTCCAGTCTGAAAGCAACTGTTCTTGCTGCCCAGGTTCACAAAGCAGTCTACTACACTGATGATGAAACTGCTCTGCATGAGGGCCTCTACTGTAACACATGCAAATGCTGGAGTCTTCTGTGTCATGGGACAGCCCTGTATTCAAAACATCACCGGTGAAGCTGCAGACATGTTTGAAGGAAAGCCTCCCTGCCTATGTTTACTTTCAACAGCATGTACAGACAGGATAAAACTCGATTGCAGTCTGCTTCACCCCTTAAAAGGGCAAAAAGGTCCAATCACGGGGGCTATAAAGCCTTTTTATGAGGTCTTTTATTGGGTAATTTGAACAAGCTGTGCAGATTGTACAGAGAGCAATGTGGCTGTTAGCAGCCTTTGGACTTTTGTTCTGCTCACCTGCTGGTCCAGAGGGGAAGTTCTTCAGGGAGGGTCTCTCCACCACGGTGTAGGAGTCTCCCACCACAAACACCTTGTAGAGGACCGCGTTGTGGTTGATGAAGCTCTGGATCACACACGGAGGCTTCACATCCTTCAGGTCATCTTCACTGAAGATGATGGCCATCTGCGAGTGGAATAAAAACACAATCAGCCGAAACTGAAAGCTAAAACACTTTTTTTTAAATTTTGTTGTTTGGACTTGACAATCTTGCATTAGGACAAGTGCTTTTTGTAGGAACACTGCGAGCGTCCTCAGAGTCCTGAAGCTTCTTACCTCGTGGGAGTTGGTGCCATGAGCCACCCGTGTTTTGCAAACTGTCAAAATATAAAAATAAAAGACAGGAAAAAAAAAACATAAGCCAAGTAACAAACTGAGTCATAAGTGAAAGACTTGAACAGAAGCAGAATTACACGTCATTAAAAGATGCAGTCACCGAAGGTTTAGGATGACTTTATAAAAAGACACTTACTGAAGGGGAATGTGAGACCTTGCCTCCTGATCTGCTCCAGCACATCTGGGCTGCACTCCGTGTTCAGGACCATGAAGGGGGGAGAGCAAATCCTCTCATCTAATCAGAAGAAAAGCAGAAGAAGAATGAAGATGAGATTCAACGATAAACATTCCAAGACGAGCAGAAATAGTTTTGTGGGAGAGAAATATGCGCATGGTTTCAGCAGACATGTTTTCTTTTTGTTATTTACATTTGTTATGACGATCTTGATTAAACAATCCTCAAAGTTTCCTGGTAAAACTGCGCACATTCTACAAACAGTTAATCTAAAAGGTATTGTCAGATTAATAAACCAAGAAGAGCATATTAATAATTTTAATCTCCATATTTGATCACTTATTTGTGATCAGGTTGTGGAGGCAACTGTTCTAGGAGAAAACAACAACATCCCTCTACCCAGTGACACACTCCAGCTCCTACTGGGAGATCCCAAAGTATTCCCAGACCAAAGAGGATATAAAATCCCTTCAGCGAGTTTTGGGTGTACCCCAGGGCCTGTTCCTAGGGGGACAAGCCTGAAACATCTTCAAAGAAAGGCCTCTAGGAGGAATCCTAATCAAATGGCTGAACCACCTCAAATGACTACTTTCGATGTGGAGGAGCAGCAGCTCTACTCGGAGCTTCCCTCCAGATGACGGGGCTCCTCACCTCATCTCGAAGGCTGAGTCCGTCCACACTATGAAGGAAGCCCATTTCGGTCATTTGTATCCAGGACCTTGTTCTTTCTGTCATGATTCAAACTTTGTGACCATTGGTGAGGGTTGGAACATAGACAGACCAGTAAATCCTGAGCTTAGCCTTTTTTTTTTTTTTTTTAACCACGACCGACCGAAGAAATGTTCTCATTATTGAGGACAAGGCCTCCATCCATCGATACAGCTACTGCTCCATTCTAACATCACTAAGACGCCCAGATACTTCAACTCCTCCAACTGAGGCACGTTATTGACAAGTTTATTTCCAATTTACTGACATTTGATATAATAAAGTTAGTCTAATATTAAAAAGATTTGTCTAATAAGCTCATTTTAACCGGTAGTTGTAACAAATACTTGTTTCGCATAATTAAAGTCTGTTCATAGTGAGTTCTCGTGACCTGTTCACGACACCGACGGAGTGAATGCCATGTGAACTTCCACTTCCTCCCAAACATCACTCGCTGGCATGCTTCTGTTGCTTAAGAAAACACTGATGACTTGCATTTACTCCCCTAAACCAGCTTCACTCCTCACATTAAATATCTTTAAATCAAAATACGGAAATTTTGTTTTTCAACATCAAGATGGCAATCTATCATCATATAAAAACAGGTTCCAAATAAAGGCCTAGCATTCCTTGAAGGATTTCATTGCAGCCACACAAACCCCATTTCTCAAGGAACAAAGCAGCGAAGCTATCATATCCATCACTGGGATTTCACCAGTCGCCTAGCAGCAAACAAAACAAGTGTAAAGAGGCCACAGCATTATTAACTGCAAATATTTGGCCTTTTTTCACCTGCCTCCAACACACATCAAACAAATCTCATTACATTACAATTTCAGATCACATCTTGCAGCAAGCGACCCTGTTCTGATGAGATGAGTGGGAAAGTCCTGCAGCTTTGATAGAATTCCAAACTGAAAATAATAATAATGATAAACTACTCAAACATCTTCTATAGTGGCCCTGCTCGCACTTGTAAACCAAAGAAGTTGGTGACCAGGTCAACACTGAAGTTGGCAAACTGCTAAAGACAAACGCAGAGTAGAACCATGGCGGTGTTTGTGCAGTGGAGCCTCAGCGGTGGTAGGCTCTGCCAGCAGGTCTGGGGTTTACAGTCATCACAGTCACAAGATGAAAACCTTCTGCTGATTTGGGAGGCCTGTGGTTGTGAGACGACCTCAAGATGGTGGGGATTATCTTCGATAATGTAGCTGCTTTTTAAAAGAGGTCTGCTAGTGTTTAATCATGTATATACAGTAAATTAATGCATATCGATTGGAGGTTCTACCGTTTTCTCATCTAAACAAGACAAAAAAATACATAAAAACTGCATCTGAATAATAATTTTATACTTCCTTTAAGACAATACAGTATTTTTTCTTAAAATGAGCTCTGCCACATTTTATTTGCGTGTAATATTTCAGATGCTCCAACAACTTGATGGTAGGCTACATGTGGCTAACCTAATTGGCCGGACATAATCAGTATGGCACACACCTGTCTGTAGCGTCAGGTTACGTTTTCTAGGACAGAGACAGAAATGGGTCTCATGATGGGTCAAAAATGACCATTTTAACAACTGGACTTTGAACCTGTAAAAATCTTAAAGACCTGAAGTGACGGGAGGGATGATCTGCACGTGAGTTAAGGAAGTCCAGCTGCCTCGATTTAAACTTTAGATTACCATGCTGCGTATGCCTGAATACCTTCACCAGCATACCTCTGAGAAGACCTGAAGAGATCAGAAACACTGATGTTTCTTATCCAAAGTAAATATTCTATAATGGATAATTTAAAAAGTTCTGAATATTTAAAAAAAAGGGACAATGTTGCATTTCTCTTTAAACGTACAAATACAGCTTTCGCTTGTCATTGTGGATTATTGCCAGTAGAATGACGGGAGAAAATAAAGCAACAGCCAATTTCACCCACGATATTACAAATATCCACACTTTGACGGGCCTGTAAATTTAATTCTCAGTTCAGCTGCTGTTTTTTTATTATTATTATTTTTTTAATACAATTTTGTGAAACTAAATTCACAATAGGAAGACTCAATCAGATATTTAAAAAAAAAGCCAAAACAGAGCATTCACAGCTGATAGTGTCCTGATGCTGCTCAGTAATCCAGGTAGATGAATCGAACAAGGTTGAGTCAGGTCCTCTGGACGGATTCTTCTTTGCTGAAACAAACAGAGAACCTGACTCAACCCTGTCAGATTACAGCTGAGAGCTTTGAATTTCTGGTGTTATATGACAGACAGGAGCAAAATAATTATTTTCCTTCTTCAGAGGCAGATACTTTCCCCTGAGCAGCTGGGTCTGTTCCAGCTCCAGCTCCGGTTCTTTAACCGGGCCGTGTTGAAATGCAGGAAACCTGGAAGTTTACTCATCCGTCATCTCTGCTCCTCATGCTGAGGTTATTTTACCAGGACGAGAATAGCTGCTTAATGTCCTACAGAAAACAATCTGATGGGGAAACATCCCCCCCATTACGTCACCAAGTTCCCAAAGGCTGGTGGTGTTAAACAAAACCTGCCAGAAGATCCAAACCTTGTCAAATGGAAAACATTTCAAAGTTCCAGGCACATTATTTATAATAAAGACAGAAAGGAATAGTGGAGGAGAGCGTGTGGCCAAGTTTTTAAGAGTGTGAATGCTTGGCTCTGGTTGATGCTTCAGGGATACGGGCTGGTGAGGAGGATCAATCTTTGGCTCTGTCTAAACACTGCATGCTTGCAGCAGACCAAGCGGAGCCTGGGACGACATTTACGGGACTTGACAACAAGACACTTTTTTAAATGTTCCTGTACAGTATCATTACTTATTTTTATTTTATCTGCAGCATTTCCTCATTTGTTCACTTAGAATTAACTAAAATCAACAAAATCCAGACTCGCAGACATAAGCCTGAATTCTTTGGGTGTGTTGTAACTCCAGTAATGCGGGTCTCGTCTTCTTTTGGGTTTAATGCATTAGAACAGGCAGCCAACATTACTTGAATTACTTTTCTTCTGTTAAGGTGAAAAGCCAAACACTTGTAGCTCTTTAGAGGTTGTTTCCAAGAAACACAAGCATCAAGCCTTACAGCTCCTTCTGTGTTCCTCCAAGGCAAAGTGTTCAGATTTTTAATCTTCTAAATTGAACTCCAAAGTCAGTTTTATGTTAAGATTATTGCCTTTTTTAAAACATTTTTTTTTTTGGAAAACCTTCAGGCTTAATTAGAACTGGGTTATTTATGGATCCCCCACCCACAACATGATGAAAAATGCAGTAGTCTTTAAACAGTTATCAATCAATTATTCATTTTTGATAAAATAGGAGGCAACCTAAAAACAGGAAATGGTTTACCCAGATCAGGCAGCAGTCTTCACTCCTGAATAAATGCTTACGGTACTTTTAACAGTCTCAAAGCTTCATCTTCCAGCTGCTGCTATGATTAAATATCATCACTTGGACTATAGCGTCTCGTGGCTGTTGAGGTGTTGCTAAAGCACAGATGCAAACGAACACAGAGGCCTCGGCACACGTTCCTCGAGCTTCAAGTTTGATCTAAAGGAATGCACTCAGGAGAAGTCTTTCATTTGGAGGTAAAAAGAAATAAGCGAGGCTGTTGTTTTATGGGAGAGTTGACATGACGACGGTTTTCTGTCTATAGAAACGGTCCAAGAAATTAAAACTCCTGTAAACACAGGAACCAGTGGATTCCACTAACAAACGGCCACCTTCTCCTTGCTCACATTAGAAACCACATTAGACAACAAAGCAGCAGTAAGTTCCAGGTATGAATCCACGACACTCATCTGTAAGCGTTTGTGTGTTTTATATTAAACATGACAGAAAACAAACCAATTCTTGCACCTAATCTTTGTATTACTACCTAAACTATTTAGAAGAGAGAAGCTAGATGGACTGAAACTGAGGCCTTTTGGTATCAAGAGGCCACTCGAGTGATAAAACAAGGTTCGCTTTTCCACTAAAAGGACAAGCACACCTCAAGTGCTTCCTCCTATTGAGTACTACTCTGAGTCACGCAGAACACTGCAGCCTTTCTCTGAGTTTTCAGTACTGGGTTGCCTTGGCAGCTGATATAGGACTCTGTGGTCTTCTATGATAAGGAGGAGGAAGTAGCTCTGAACTAAGAGACTCCTACTCTATCCTGTTTTACCCTTATGTTAATCTAGTTTTTTGTTCTCTTGTTTCAGTGCTGACAATTAAAACCAAGTTCGTCACATGCTTATTATTTTGTATGAGAGGATTAAAGGCTTAGACTCTACAGGTTTGGTATGCAGACCTGTAAGCAGAGAGAACTACTTGCAACAATGGAAACAAGAGCCGCCTATAAACGAAGCCATCTTTCGCTTTAAATCTTTTGCACGCAGCCCAACAGAGTGATGCTGCTTATTCTCGTTATGCAACAGCCGTCAAGTCTGTTTGGATGAAAAGTCCTCTTCCTATGGTTCTATTTTAAGAAGGCTGCGACACAGTCAAAAGCTCAAAAGTCTCTGATCCATTGCCCTGACACCAGCCTGCAGCCCCTCACACGCACGGAGGCTCCGTGAATTAACAGGTTTACATTCTCCCACATGTGCGGAGGTGAGGAAGCTGTAGATGAGTCACAGGTTTGTTTACTGTCGTTTTATGTCAAGAGTGTGACATTTGTTGTTGGATTGCTTCCAGTTAAAACACACTGCCCACTGAGCAGCTAATGTGTGCTCAGGGGAAGGTGCCGCTGAACCGGCAAGAGAGCAAACGTACAAATAAGTCCCCTCTAGAAGAAACAAAGAAATGCATATATATCCTGCAATTCCTTTCACTTTGTCTGCAGTTATTTTCACATTTAAGCTAAAAGCCGAGCAGTTACGTTATTATTTTAGACAACTTCTGCTTCTCTATTGCATAAACTACAGAGCAAGGACGGAACAGAGACACCAGTACAGCTTTGTCTCACAGCTGACTGGAAGCTTAACCTCGGTCAGAAAATGCTAAACATAATAGAACAGTGATTATGCAGAATGCCCAAGATCAGATTTCTTCAATGCACAGCAGTTTGACAAGGTCAATCTAGAGAACCAGTTTACTTAAGAGATAGGTGCGATATACTTCTAACTGGTTTGGCATGGGGCAGTACGGTGGCGCAACTGGTAGAGATGCTGCCTCTCAGCGAGCAGGTCCCTGGTTCAAATCCCAGTCCGGGGGTCTTTCTGGGTGGAGTTTACATGTTCCTTCCATGCTCCATGCATGCGTGGGTTTTCTCTGGGTACTCTGGTTTCCTCCCACAGACCAAAAACATGCATGTTAGTTCTGACTGGTAACTCTAAATTGTCCCTAGATGTGAGTGAGAGAGTGAATGGTTGTTTGTCTCTATGCGTCTCTGCGATGGACTGGAGACTAGGGGTTGAACGACTACATATTTTTTAAAGTCGACATTAACATTATAATAGTCGAGTCGACGACATCATAGGAACCTAATTTATTATTTACAAAAAGAAACCCAAACAACAAAAGATCAGGAGTGTGTATTTATGCTCCTACCACTTATCATACTGCAAATAAGTAACAAGAAAATCAAACATATTATTAAGCTGCAAAAGTTATATTTTATTTAATCCACTAAATAAACCACAGCGGCGGTGGATTCTCCACCGGGGCTGATGAGCGGTGGATTCTCCAATGGTGCGCACCCCTGTTTTTACTTATTTAGTGGCTTAAATAAAATAAAAATAATAACTATCCACCAGCGGTGGTGCATGGTGCACAGCGGCAGTGTGTACAGCAACTAATACACACACGGTGGGGTGAGCGGTGGTGGATTCGCCGGTGGAGTGCACTCCTGTTTTTATTTTATTTAGTGGGTTAAATAAAATGAAACTAAGAACAGCGGGGCGAGCGGGGATCCCACCATGGATTAAATAAAACAAAACTAAAAACATAATCTTTAGTGAAAAACTTCCACACTTGATCTGTGTGGGAAGACTTGCCTGCTCATCACCTTCCATCTGCTTGGAAGAATCCGTTTTGCAGCCAGCGGCCCAGCTGATCACGTGACATGTGACACTCGCTGGCTGTAACTAGTTGAAGTGAAATTTAAAAACTCGTGAGATGTCCTAGAACTGACTAGTCGACAAGTCTATTCAACCCTTACTTGCGACCTGTCCAGGGTGTACCCCACCTCTTGCACAGTGATGGCTGGACATGGACACCAGTGACCCCCGTGACCCAAAAAGGAAGAGGCGGGTAAAGATAATGGATGGATGGTTTGGCATGATTTTTTTTTCTCAGTGAGAAATGAGCCTCTGGTAAAACAGAGCCACTGAAATGTTTACCTTGCATGCATCTTTCTATTCTGTGGATAAGTTGGTAGGATTTGCAGCGATCCAGAAGCGTTCGGATGGCTGGAAGAGGGTCCAGGACTATCGTCTCAGGGTGGGCATCAATGTAGTCCTTAAAAAAAAAAAGACAGGATAAAACAAACAAAAAATATTTTAATGCCGTATTTTTACATCGTTCATGTTCAGACATTTGGCCACATCACAGTCTAGAGACTTGTAGTATTCTTGAAAAGTGATTGTTACAAGTTAGAACTGGTAAGTGAAACGTACAAAATTGATAAATTCTTAAATCACAATAAAACAAATTCACTCCACTCTAATGACATAAAAGTATGTTGGAGCCTGCTGGCTCTGCCAGGTTTTATTAACCGGCTAATTATAAAACAAACCGTCAGACAATAGCAACACATGTTTAAGGCAACACTAGACTTTGCGTCAACATATTTTTTCAGAGGTTCAGATACGCCTTCAGTAGATGCAATGTTCAGAAAGACAATTTTTTTGTCATATTTTTTTCAGTAATCTGAGAACCCAAAGTGCACCGAATTCAAAGAATGACCCATTTAAACAATGTGCTTCTGGATAATTTCGACAGCAGAATATAATCAATAACATCCTGGGAAGTTAAGAAACCGCATTTAACAACTTTGAAATCTGATGCCATCTCAACAATATATACATTATGGTACTGTAAGAAATGCATCGGAAAACAACAAAATATTAACACCTAAATAGCTCATTTTCTAGTTTTGTGGTGCCCTGTTAAATTGCTGACATGTGGGTTTATAATTGTAAAAATCTAAGATTTTGTGACAATATTGCTTTTAAAAAGTTCAAATGTAGAGCTTCTCTTAATAAACATGATGATTTAGTCACACTATGTTCTGAGGAAATAGGTGAAATTCTTAAAGCAAACAACGGAAAGTGAAGTCAAACTCATGTCCTTGTTTAAGCAACACCATTTTTATGCAAATATTAAGTTGCAACATGTTTGTGAACCCCATGAGCAGAGAGAGAACTACTTGTACTGAGTCTTCACTCTTCAGGCCTCATTATATTAAACTCTATAAGAATATCGCAACTTTTTTTTATTTATTTTTTTATTAAAATGCAAACACGCACTTTTCAGGTCACGGTGTTGACCAGATTTTGTTAATCTTCACATTCAAGTGCTCCAAATAACACTTTTTTTGTTCTTGTTCTTCCTTAATATCAACATCTTTTGTATAGTTCTCGTTGGGTTCTGTATCATCCTTCTGTCTTGTTGTTCTGTCATTTCTGGAGGCTCGAGTGATGCCCCTACTGCCCTGAGCTCATTTTTGCACAGGCAAGCTCCAGAAATTTATTTATTTATTTATTTAACAACTGTTGTGTTGTAGCATGGTAGCAGAAACCGATAGCTTCTGCTCTGGCGAACACATGAAAATTCATGCCCACAGATTAAAAATGTTCAATTAAATTGGGCACAGCATAAACAGCGAGATGAGGGGTCAACATGCCTCAATATAATCTGAGAAGAAGCTAGAGGGAGGATGAAATGTATGCCAGCAGGTCTGTAGAAGTTACATCACTGCATCTCTTTCTGCCGGCTGTTGGGTCAGCGTGAGGTCGACTGTTTTACATAACGGCTCAGCCCTTCTCTGATCCTGTCTTTTCTTGTTGACTCTTCTCCACCTCCTCCCCAGTGCTCTCCTTCCTTTCCACATTAGCCTCAATTCTGTAGAACATTCTGCCAACCTGTGCCGAACAATTTTTACTAACGGGATTTGGCTGTCCCGCACAAAACATACTGTCTGTGCACATCGCAGACCTTATTGTACATGTTTACATTAAATACGTTCAGAAATGTGATGCAAAGGACTCCTGGTACACAAAGGTAATGACGCACAAAGGATGTAAACACGACTGATCAAAGCCAACTGAGCATGTCTGCAAGTCAAACATACTCCAACTATACACATAAATTCACACCAAACTTCAAGGAGTTTAAAGGAAAACTTATATTAAAAAACAACAACATATTTTACAGGATTCTGCCTCTCACAAGAAAAAAATGCAGTTAAAGACAGACAAGAGGGGGAGGTGAGAAAAGGAAAAAAGCCTGTGTTCAGCAGGTGCTGGAAAGAAAAAGAGTCGGACGTAAATCAGTGTGGGTGTGAGAGAAAGCTGCACACTTTGTTCATTTTTGGACTAGATCTGACTTCAGGATACAATAAATGAGCTGGAGTCTCAGTAAGTATATCTGTGGCACCAAATGATTTAACATAAAGAAAAAAAACTTTACATAAATCATAAAACAATTTCTCAGCAGGTTTAATTGATTTTAAATGTCTTTAAGTATTACCTAAAATAATTAATCATTACGCCCATAACTTTACATTCCCAGAAAAAAAAAAAAGATATTGCAGTTATGAACTCTTTTCTCCCAAATCGAGCCACAGAATTGGAGTGTGTATCCAGTGATGACATTTTGTTTGAACTACAGAGCTATTACAGAGAGGAAAGCTTGTTCCCTCCACCACACAAAAGCTTATTTATAAGAACAGTTGTGTGATCATAAGAAGGAAGCCAAAGCTTATATTTCAAACTGAAAATTAAACAAATGAAGTTCAGGTACAACGCCACAACTTCAGCCACAAAGACCGAGTTGAAAAGCTACCAGCTTGTTTAATTTAACCCTCAGCTGCAGCGACAAACAGGAATGAGTGAAAATGTTAAACTTAAACCAGAGTTACTCTGTAAAAAGACAAAAAAAAAAAAAAACACAGTGGAGTTCAAGACACACTAAGGCTTACAGGAAGTAAATGTTTTTAATTGCTTGCCACAAAAGCAAATACGGTAAATAAAGTTTCTGTCAGCACTTGTTTGTCTACATCATCAGTAAAATATCTCATAAACCAGTGGAGGGATTTTAAAGAAACTTTAAGAAAGAAGTCAAATAAACTTTGACTAAGTTTTGGAGCATTTACTTTTTAAGATTGTCGCTGCAGCTAAGCAAACTTAGCAAACACAAAAATTGCTCTACCTCAGCCAGCTTTACAGATGTTGAGCTAAACTTTAGAGCTTATAGTCTCATCCCTATGACACGCTTTGAGTCGATGACATCTTACAATATCACACAACATGGTGCGCAAACTCATTTACGAGGCTCGACCAAAACAGCTACAACTCTGTCTCTTTTCAACATAAAACCATTTAAATAAATATATAAATAAAACAAATTATTGTCATTTACATCAAGACTGTTGACCTCATTTTCTTTTACAGCAATAAGCCAAAAAAACAAATTGTGCATGTGCACGTTAAATATAATTTAAAACCTAAACAATCGTCATATACCATCCTGTGCTAATATTGACCAGAAAAAGCTCGCTCCACTCTGACATCCTGTTTGCCCTTCCTAATGAAGTAGTCAGGAAAGTGCTGACAGAACTGCGTGACGTTGATCACGATAACGGTTGTCCTGAAACATTAAGTGAAGCTGAGAAGACGAGAGAGAGGAAAAAAAGAGCTAGAGATGGTGTAATAAAATTATTTTTCACACCATCTGTTCCACTGCCAGTTTGATGATTGCACAGACACCGAGGCACACCTGTTAGCTTTCTCGTTATCTTCCACCCCGTGAGACATTTCTCCCTTCGAAAAGACTTAGTTAAAGTCTTTTCTAAGGAGGCTTTTAGGTTTTATGAGTCACCGTGTGCTTATGTACAGATGATACTGCCTTTATGTCCATTCTGCCTGTCTGCCTGTTTCCTTGGAACAGATTACCCGATTCCCTGAACTTGGACATTTACAACTCTAAATGTAAAACTCATTTATTGTCCATGGGTGTGTTATGGCAAACATATTTGTTTTAGGGTTTTCTTAATAAGAATACTGGGTTTGAAGGAAATATTATACAATAATGACACAGTGTGCCATACATTCAGATGCAGTGACAGTGGAATATTTTTAAACTATTTATGTTGCAGCACGTCAAAATACATTGTTATCCTTGGCTAAAAGTTATTTTAGCAGTCTGTTAAAAAACAAAATTTTTGGTAACTCAATATTGCCAACAACCATGCACGCACATACGAGAATTTAATATAATAGTAAAAGACCAAGGATTTCTTGAAGGAAATACTGCCCACTACTGTTCAGGACAGAATTTTAGACCAAGATCATCTGATGTTGAGAAATGACCAAGTTGTGGCAACTTTGGTCAAACCTTGAAGATAATGATGTAAGATAACGCAAAATGTCATATGTTGTGAATGACTCTCAGCTACAACTCATCAAATTTTATCTCAACATCCATAAAATGGACCGAGTTACAGACACTTTGTGTTGGCCAATGTCACTAAGCTGTGGTGGCCATCTTGAATTGGACTGACTCTGAAAGTTAATCAGCTGTAGACGTACATGCAGTGATTACTAGTGTCATAAATCTGTTTGTTGGTTCAGTGTTCAGTGTTCGGTCAATTGCCTTGGCAGGGTGCTCATGTCCTTGCAGACTTTTTTTCAACATGGGGGGTGGTTAGTGTTGGCAGTTGTCGACAGTTGGGGCGGGGCACTACCTCTGTAGCTTTTTAGCTAGCGCGTCTGCACTGCGCACCGCTAGCTTAGCGCTACGTCAGTGCCAGCAGTTGTTGACGGGGGTGGGGTTGTAGGTGAAGGACACTTTCAGTAGGCGGGATGCTCGGATCTGTTGACAGGGTGGGGCACCCTCCATGGATAACGGTAGGGGAAACACTGTGGTTTGTGAAATATTTTGGTAACAGACATACAAAGACATACACACTCAGGCATGAACAAACACATTACGTATTGTCTGCCTTTGCCTTTAATATTTATAATCAGTTATGACTAGTAATATATAATGCAATGGGCATTATTAACAAAAATAAGTTTCAACACCTTAAAGGGGCGGCGGTGGCTGAGTGGTTAGAGCAGTCATCCTCTAATGGGAAAGTTTGGAGGTTCAATTCCACCAGCAGTCACATGATTAAGTGACCCTGGGCAAGACACTGAACCCCTAAATGCCTCCAATGTGTGTCCCATTGGTGTATGAATGTGATAAAGCACTGATTAGTCTTTGTACAGTTATAGTAGAGTGGTGTATGAATGGGTAAATGGGTGCACGGAGTGTAGTGTAACACACTTTGAGTATCTTGATAAGATAGAAAGGTGCTACCGGTACACAAGTACAGTCCATTTACCATTTAAATGAGTATCATAGTATAAAGCAAGAAAACAAACAAAAGTTAAAAATTGTTTAAAGATATTTCTGAAATTGAGTTTAGTTGTTAAAAATGTACTGTTTTGACTTTTTGCTCACCTATATCTGTGAATACTCAGAAAAATGAGGACAGCATGAGAGAAATGCACACCTGTACTCTTTGCAGCTGCAGCACAGCTTGTGAATCGTTCTGGTCAGCTTCCAGGATGAGGTCAGTCAGTTTGTGAATGATGACGTCCAGCGGACCCTGGTCTTCCAGAGGCTGGCTTAGGTCCAGCTGAGAAGAGATAAAAAGCAGAGATGAAGGATTAGGGTTGAATAAAACTTCCCTAATCAGCCATTTATTTCCTACATTTTCAAAATCAATCACCAACAGCAATATATTTTTCCATAAACGGAATTTTTGATGTAAAATAAGTCATCTTTATGAATCCTTTGAAAAACCGCTTTGAAAAACCATAATAATTCTTTATCACGTTGTAAAAGTGAAAACCCTGAGCATAAATTCAATTCTTGCTCAGTGACAATAACATTTCAAAAGCTATTATAGGGTCATGTCTCTGAAAGTGGAAGTGGTGAACTGTACAGCAGCAACACAAATTACAACCTGTATTTTCTCACAACCGGTGCTTTGAGTTGACACCACTTCAATATACACACAATTAAACACCCAACTTTCTACAATCTCCTCAACATCTTCAAGTAAATGTTTCGGGAAACTACAACAAAAAAGGTTGAATCATGTCATCTGGACTTCATTTTTTTGTTAAAAAGAAACGTTTCGCCCCTCATCCAAGAGGCTTCGTCAGTCTGAGGCCTAGCCATCTGGTATTACCCAGAAGCCACCCTGACTCTTGTGTTTCAAGCCTGCCTCAGATACCCCTGAAGTCTGGCCTTTTCACTAATGGTTTCAAAAACACAAAGTTTGTTTTCTCAGTCATCCAGGTATATAACAACAAAAAAGGTTGAATCATGTCATCTGGACTTCGTTTTTTTGTTAAAAAGACTGAACTGAACTGAAAATCTGTGCAAGATCATTTATTTTATTTGCATACATAGTTTCTTTTTACTCTTGTTAGTTCATAAACCACACAAAGATCCACAGATGAAGGCTTGAAGTAAACAGTATTTTGTGAAAATTGCTATATACATTTTTTTTTAAACAAAGCAGCATGAGGGGCTATTTGTGTTGAAATGATAACAGTTTGTACCAGGTAATACTGAATGCATCCACAACACCAAGTAAAATAGAACCCAATTACTTCACTGCAGTAAATCTTCCAGGAGATTTTCTACAACATTCAGACACTGGTTTTCAGAGTATCATAATGAGGTGGGTGGAAAATCTCCACTACAGTTCAGAGTGAATTCTGCAGTCATTTGTATTCAGGACTGAAGCATGCGGGAAAAGGCTGTTGTCACCCTGTTTTCAGTACAATCTGTAATTTGTACCAAATCACTGACAAGGCAATACAAGGGATGAAGCACAGAAAACCTGCTATTATTCTTTGCAATGTTTGAAAAAAATGACAGGCATGTTGTATAAAACTACTGGGTTTGTATAGTGAGGAAACAAATCTCCAAAAAACACAGTAAACTGCAAAATTCAATAATATATACAATTTCAAATCATCTAAAGGTTAATGTTGTTTGGAAGCAAATGTGTCCCTGACCACTAGATCTTTTTTGATGGTTATAAAGCAGCCTAAAAACATAGCTATGCCATCTCCTTTATTTAAAGCTGCAACATTTCTACAGTCACAAGTATTTGTATTGGATAGCATCATGACAATTTTGATTTTCTCCTCCTCTGCATCTTCTTATTGTACTGAGTTACACACTCCTCAGACTGGTCCTCCAGTTCTGCTGAGCTTATTCAACAAACACAGAGAAACACCTAATTAGCATTCCCTTCAAGTTTAACAGTGCAGAAGGACTGACTGAACAAGCAAAGTATGCCACAAGTAGTCAAACCAGAACTTGGAGTTGAAAAAGTTGTGAACAAAACATTAGCCTCCAAGTACTGAGGAAAAAACGATGCAACGTGTTTGGCTTTAAAAAGCAAATTCTTCTCTCGTGAATGTTTGAAACCATTAAACAATGCATGTCCATGGAGACTCAGAACAAAAAAAGAGTTCTGCCTTTATGCAGGAGGTAGTTACCAGTAATGGCTCACTGGGACATCTTGATTGGTTTCTGTGCCTCTGTTGAATGACACAACCCCACATTAAATCATTAGCTAATCTGCTAAAGGGGATGCCTGAATTACAACAAACCAAAAGATAACAGAGTCACACCTGTGCAAATAAAATCGGATACTACAGTTCTTTGTGCTGGGCAGACAGTACGTCAGCTAAAAGTGAATACACCTTTGTCACACAGGTGGGGATCAATGAAATGGCTGTAAAATTGTATGGTTTTAGTTGCTACAGGAGTGGCCACAGTCAAGGCTGGTTAATGATTGTGAGAGGTGCGAGAGATACGTGACTAATTAGAGTACCCTTGGCCACTCATATCTGCACAAACAGCATATTTGTTCTGTAAAATAAAATTTATAATTAAGCTTTATAGATATGTTTGTAGTTTTATAGGAAAACTATTAATTTTAAATAAACAAGTTCAAGAAACATTTTTTTTCCTCCAGAGAGTTTTCATAGAAGGAAGAACATCCTATCAAACATATTGTATGAGTACACCCTGTGCTTAATACATAAACAGGAAAAAATATTAAAAATAAAAAAATGCACCTAGCATGCTCTTTAAGTTCAGCTGTACATCTTAATTGCTTGTTCCGCTACATCTTTGTGTGATTTCCACCTTTGCCTAACGTAACAGTTGGTCCTCATTCCTCCTGCCTGTAGAAACACGCCTTGCACCGCAAAGTAACATGCTGAGACTGCCTTCAACAATGTACACAAAGTACTGAAGTTCAATGTATCATCTGGCACTCGAAGTATTTCTAGAAAGTATACAAAATCTGCATGAACTGACTGTAAATGGATTAGAATCTGGATCTGAACTGAATTTAAATACCGGTATATGGAATGGGATACATGGGGATGCATACAACTAAAAGAGGAATACAATGATTAAACAAGCAGTTGAAGCTTCTGTACGACAGCGTTTATATAAAAAAAACTGTTATAAATAATATATTTTTAAATCAGATCTTTAGAATTACCCAATAATCTGTCGGAAGAGGTGACAATAGCAATGTAGGAACAATTGAGAATATTTATTGGGTTTAAAATAAAAACGCCACATTCAAATACATATGGTCAAGCTCTAAAATGATGAAGATACATTTAAAATATTTTGCGTCACAGAGACAGACAAGGTTCACGGTCTCAGCATTTAAAATCAAACATGCTGCTATGCCTTTAACAGTGTCATTTGCAACGCTTGAAAAAAGTGTCGACAGTGCAGTGGTGAAAAGGCCGCAGCAGCATGAAGTGCTTTTGTTTTCCGTCTAGCTAGCAATGTCAGCGTGATACGACCTGCTGGATGAGAACTTCTAACTCCACCGAGGCATGGTTCTTAATCTGTCGCTTACACAACACAGAGGGCCCCGTCCACAGTCTGGCCACTCAACAAAAACGGGACTCTACAGCGTGGGGGTCATCACCCACTGGCAAAGACATGATGCAGACAGATTGACCCTGCCTTTAGAGCTCATCCCAAAAGCCAGCAAGCGAGTCACTGATGTTCTGTTAAATGCTTAAAGCAGAAATATCAGATGACGTCTTTCCACATCCCTGTGGGACTGAACGCTAGCGCTGGGCCACGGTAGTGATGGACAACACAGAAAACATGCCGAATCCTAGTGGGAGAGGCTAGGTCAGGGCAAATATATTTTCAGCTTTGATGTAGCTTCACTATGGGACCAAACTCTAAAAGACACGAGCAGATTTTAAGCAGAATACGAGGAACGTGTTTTCCACGTTGAGTCTACAGAACATAAAACACATGAGCAATTATGCAGATCATTAATGCGTTAGGCCTTAGATGTTTCAGACAGCTGAATTTATAGTTTTGCTGTCAGACAAACTTAAACAGACTGTGTGCAGTAAAGTGTCATGAATAGTTTATTTTGTACATGCGAGTACTGACACCCTAATGTGAAACAAAATTCTGTCTCTAAACCTGCACCTTACATGAATCACGAGACTAGTAGTTTGTATGTAGCCAAATACAGTACAAAAAGTAACCCAACTATTAACCTAAATCGAACAGTGACCAACATTACTCTGTTCACATGTGTTTTTGCCTAATTATTATTTTGCAAAGCTGCAATTACCAATAATGTCCACAGTTTGTCAGTCTCTGGTGTCTGAGGATCAGTAAAAACCTTCTGAGGATTCTTGTTCTTCTGCGTCCACAAACTCAATAATGGACAAGATACAGCAGTATGTTGGAAATTATCTTTCAAAGCACTTACCAGATAATAATAATAGTGATAACTCAATAGCAGCCCACTTAAACAATGACCATTTGATGTGACAAGTTCTCTCTCCAAGAGTGAATATTGGCCTCTTCAGGACCGAGCCCAGTGAGCTAATTTAATCAGCCCAGTGATACAGAGAGGCTAATGCATGGAGCAGAGTGGATGGCACTCTTATGAGCTTAGGGGTCAGAACTGATAAACCACAACTGGGCTGAGAAAGAAAAGAAAATATTAAGGGATGAAAAATAAAAATAATATAGTGCCAAAGTTGAAAGACGTAAACGCCTACAAAAATAATGTGAAAAGTTAAAAAAGAAAAAAATCTTTATCATCTTTGTGAGTCTTGAGGTGAATATGTGTAGTTTTCCATTCATCCATCCATCCATCCATCCACCAACTTTTCCCGCTTCTCCCTTTTCGGGTCGTGGGGGTCACTGGTGCCCATATCCAGCCATCATTGTGCAGAGGCAAGGTACACCCTGGACAGGTCTCAAGTCCATCACAGGGACACAGAGACAAATAAGACAAACAACCATTCACTCCACTCACACCTAGGGACAATTTAGTTATCAGCCTAACATGCATGTTTTTGGTCTATGGGAGGAAACAGAAGTACCAAGAGAAAACCCACGCATACATGGAGAGAACATGCAAACTCCACCCAGAATGGCACTCCGGCCGGGATTCTATCCAGCAACCTCCTTGCTGAGAGGCGACAGCTCTACCAACTGCACCACCATGCCACCCAATGTGGTTTTCCCACATTGGAAAACGAAATATAAAATGAGATCTCTAGCGTCACCAGATTTAGCAAAGACTTGTCCATATACAGTGATGTTACAATCCCCGCAAGCCCACTGGGAAAATAAAAAATAAAAATAAAACTCCTTGTTGTGACAAATAATAACGGCAAGAAAAAGAAAGTCATCCGTATGTCATGTTAGCTTAATCCTGATCCGGTATACTGTAGAGCTCAACTAACAGCTGTTTGCCTCATTTCTTAATCTGTAGATTACGCTCTCAATCAGTAGTTGAACAATCCAAAATATACCAACCGAGTTTACTTTGACTTGCAGTCAAGAAAAGCATCGCAATCTTATATCTAAGAATCTAAAACCAAAGACGAACCAACATCCATCAACCAAACACCTTAAAAATGATTTATAGTTCAAATCGTTTCAGCTCTTTGTTCACTGCGGTCATATCAAAAAACTTTATTAAGACTCCCACAGGCAAATAGGCTCAATGTGGTTTAATACGACAGTAAACAACAAGAAATATTTTGTCAGGATCTGTTTGGCCTTGGATATCCAGGGTTAAGATATCACCAGTGTCAGATAGTCTGTCGCTCCACAGGGACAAGGTTAGGTGATTAAAACTGGCTAAAAGAGATAAATCTGCAGTCATATACCAACACCTAACAACTATACTCCCTCCTTCTTTAAAACCTAAAACAAACCCAAAATTGGATAAAAGTGAAATGATTGATCTAAACCAGACATTCTCAGTCCTGTACCAAAACTTCCTGTTCAAAATTCATGACCACCATCACTACTGTTTCTCATCTATAAGTCTACACCGTGCTTCTTCATCCTGATTTACTTGCTGTACAGTCTTACACAGCAGCATTCTAGGAATTCAAGTAACGAATGGAAGAACATAAGCTCTATGCATTGTAAATTTTGTCTCGAAAAGTGCAACGGCAGTATAAGGTAATGTGCAAAGGCTGCTGGGCTCAAATTGGCACAACTGGAGAATACATCTTTGTGTAAAGACTTTTACACAAAGGCCTAAGCAAGACAATAAGAACTTTTATGCTCATTTCAGTGCAGCATGGGCACTGATTAACAAAGACTGCATAGAAGAATCACTGACATTCACTCAAAAATCCCTCAAAAGAAGTTAAAATGAGCAGTGGTTTAACTCTGCTAAAATTTAGATTTATATTTTTTAAAAATCAGTGGCCTAACAGGTACTCTAAAAAATATGAAACAGAAGAGTTTGTGGTCAGTCCCACGCCTGTGGGTACTCTGAGGAGTCCATGAGGATCTGTTGTCACCCAGGAGGAGCTGAGTGCACGGTGGGAAACAAAGCTCTGCTTACTTTGGGACTATTCCCAGGACTAGGCTCTTTCTGAGTGTGCTGATGTTGTCAGCACAGTGAGAGGACAAAAAATAACCTCAAAGAGACTGAAAAAAATCCTCTAAAGAAGAAAAGAAACTGAGTAAAAGACAGAAAAAAAAAAAAAAACTCATTAATGTTCTTTTAAACCACAGGGAACATTCACACTGACATTTGCTTTTCTGCACGTAGCTTAATATTTTGTGAAAACTTTGCTGCCTTTATTTAGTGCAGTATTCTGAATACTTTCCAGATATGATCTCGCATTTACTTTATGCGTGTACTTACAAAAACTTTTCCCTCGACTCATATTACCCTTGCTGAATGTTTATTACAAATAAAGCATCACTATTTAAAGCTTATCCATTTCCAGAGAACAATTAAATGATCATCAGTATCTAAAGTAGTCATATGTTTATTAAAACTAATCTCATGTGAACATTATAGTGAGCAGATATGACCACTGTCACTTTTCTAAATGTTTCAGACACACACAAACACTTTTACATTCTGCTAAATAAGTTACCAGGTGTCAAACACACACGCTTCTGCTATATTACCACATTAACATAATAAAGTTTTGGCGAGGTATGGAAAAAACAGCACAAAAAAATGTAAAATGACTGAAGTTTATAGAGAGAAAATAGCAAGACTATGAGGCAACCTGATGATTGCAACCCAGAACAAGTATACAACAATAAAAAGGTTAAAGATGATACGTCAACACTTCATGGTACTGCTGTTGTCCTTAAATAACCAAACTAATGCCAAAAAAATTTGGTCTCACTACTCAAACTCTTTCAAGTTTCCCTTTGCCCATTTCTTGACTTTTGTCTTTTTCATTGTCTCAATTTTTAAAAAAAACTCTAATTACCATAAATGACAAGCAAAAAAACAAGCTTAACTTTAGACCTTTTAGACCAAACACCTAACAGGTTCAAACTGGTTTCCATAAATGACAATTTGAAACCCAAGTGTCTACCTGGCATGGGTTCAAAGTCTTTCCTTTTGATGGTCCACCAACTTGCAGCTCGCTTCTTAGGACCTACTTGGCTGAGATTCCAAGTGAACAGAGTTTAGCTGCAAATGTAACGCCAGCAGAGTTTAGGACATTGACTGGCCAGAGAGCGATGTCAATCATGAGTGTCTCTATAACAAGAATCAAACCCACCATTTTTAAAAACCTAAAAAAACCATAATATTCAAATTTGTTTTTTCATTTTGAGAAATCTAGATGATGGCCTCAATTTACGGACTGACTGGCTGAAGGAAGGTGGCCTCCAGCAATTTTGTAAACCATGGAAAAAATGGTGAGCGTTTTATGACTTTATTTCACTGATTTACCCATTGGTGCTAAGTTTCAGGCAGCCACGCTACAACGACTGCCCACATCAAGGAAAACCAACAAGACCATGTAGGACTGAGACGAGTCAAATTAGGGATGAAGCGAGTCCTGCTGTAACAGGAAAATTAAAAAATTAAAAAGCAACAGCCTAGCTGGTACATACAGCGTAGCTACAATGAATAAAGTCAGGATAAAATCTCTTCTCTGGAGGAAATGTAAGCATACAGCAACTAAAAGAATACTATTATTTAAAAAATTTGTACAAAACTTGTTATCTGCTTACCTGAACAACTTCTAATCCTCTTTTCCTGGAAAAAAAAAAAGAGAAACAAAATAAGCCTTTAATTGAAAAAGTTTCATAGGAATAGAAAATGAACTAAGGCAAAGCAAAGTAAGACAAAAATGCATATTCTAGTTTTTAGTTTTACGTTCATGTGACAACTTAAGAAAATGCAACGTAAAATGTGTCTCCATCATTGCTTTCACTGGATTTATTTTACAAAATATAACTTATTTTACTCTATGTGGACATAGAGGTAAATATTTCCTTTGTAAAAATCTGTAAAAAAGTAATGAGAACCTCACAAAGCTAAATGGTGTGACAACAGGAACTGTAAGATAAGAATAAGTATGTGTTGGGGACACTGCTCAGCAGCTATCGCACAACATTTTAGTTCAATATCTGTAAAATTGTCCGAGTTGTAGCCATTTTTGTGTTTGCTATGGCCAGTTTGCTGTGACTGGGTTGGGTGAGCAAGAAAATATTTGGAATAGAAATCATTTGTTTCGACATTAAAATACGAGACTTAAATTCATATTTCTATTATCTCAGTTCAAACAGTTTTCTTTGGTCTTATGAAATCATCATCATCCATCACGCCCTATTCCAAATAAAAACAGTCAAAATCAAATGCTATGCTCCTCAGATGCATACCACCTCCACTAAAAGAACCAAATACATATGAGAAAGCACTCGCAAAATCACGACCAAACTGCCTCGTCTTCCTCAACTACGAAAAACAAGAGGACAAATCTGGACTGACCAAACAGCTTACTGCTTGTTAGAGGAACTTCCAATAGGAACAAAACGACTACAGCACAGTCCCTAACCCAGTCTGTCCAATCCAGCTGGTTTTGAAATTGCAGCCCCATGGTAACAGAAGCGTAGCTATTCACAGCTTCACAATAATGAGGATATTTAATACTGCAGCTGGCGCGCTTCATGTCAAATGAATGAGGCCTTAGTTTTCATCCCCACCACGGATAAGGAGATCGTTTGCTTTACTATGTTGTTACAGAGGCAGCGGGATGAAAAGCAAGAGAGAAAAGAACCAACAAGGCAAGGGTCAGAACTTTTTGAATTGGCTTGACGTACAAAATCAGAGTGCAACTTAAAGAATAAAAGAAATGTTAAAATTTGTTGTTTGTATCCAACAAGGTTAAGTCAGGTCATCTGGATGGATTTTTTTTTTTTTTTTTTTTTTGCAACATTTTGTCTTTTTCAGTCCAAGACTGAATCCAAGACTGAAGAATTCTTTTGGATAAAAGTCGAAACGCTTCGACAAAGAAGAATCCGTCCAGATGACCTGACTTAACCATGTAAGATTTATCTACCCATCAGGACAGGTTTGTTTGTTCTCATTTTAATCTCATCAGCATTATGTATTTTAAAAAAATACATAATAGTCTGGTGTGAAAATAAAACAATTGACACATTAATATTCAAGAACAGAGATTGCTTTTCTCAAGGGCATCAAATCAGCTCAACCATCTACGCACTCTGTAAAGTTATGAGACCAAGAACTATTTCTGATCTACTGCGTACAAGTCCAGCTGCAAGAGACAGGAGACTTCAAAACAAGTTGTTCACAAAGTTGGCTGCAAACCACACAGTGACAAAGAGAAATCCTGATTTGTCACATCTTAAATACACATAGACACATGGAAAGCCTTTTAAATGGTACATACCGTGTATAAAAACTAAAATCTACAAGTAGATCTGAGATAATCCAAATAATTACTGGTAAATATAAAATCTAATTTGGCACCTTGAAAGTGAAGATGACTTAATAATAATAATCATGAAAATATCTTAGCTAACTCACTTCCTTCCTTCTGTGGATGAGGTTTTTTTTTTAAACATGTCACATTTCAGAAAAATAAAACAACAAAATCTTTAAAATAAGTTTCAACAATAAACTGAGGGTCGACAGTCCTGTAGTGTTACGCATAATCCCTTGAGGACTCTTTATGATAAGGCATCGTTTTTAGTTCTCATACACTATTCATAATCTTCCATCACAACTTTTAACTTAAAAAAATAAAATTAAAAAAAAATCTCAGTTTGTATGCATCCATTATAGATGGTCTTATTATTGTCTGTTGTCCACTGTTGTCATCACTCTTTGTTAAAATCAGGTCTCTCTTGTAAATGAATCCATGTGTAAATAAAGGTTGAATGAAAACTCCTCGCCCAAACCCTTCAAGTTCAGCAGCTTCAGTCAAGCTCTGAGGGCAATTGGGGGAGTACGGTATGCAGCATGAAAGTAGAAGGGGATAGTTCTCAAAGGTTTACAAAGAGATTAAAACTGTTTTGTGGATTATAGGGTGTGTTAATCTGTGTAGACTCAATCAGGTCACTTGGTGAGGTAACAACACTGTGGGAAAGGTGAAAATCCTTCAACATGAAGCATACCTTATCTACCTTATTTACTTGGGCATGTCCTCAGTAAATAAAATAAGACCATGTTTTCTCTGTTCACTAGGCAAAAAAATAAAATAAAAAAGGGTCGTCCACTTTTGTTTTCAAGGAAATCTGCAACCATTTTACAGAACACACAACTCAGTGTTGGTGTTGCAACAAAATAATAAATGTACCCCCATGCCTCAAAGCCCTTTCCATTACTAGTGTAACGTTGACTGTAAATCAGTAAAGTTTGCATCTGGAAAGAAAGCACCAGTCTGTCCTTGTAACAACCCTTTCAACTTAACTTTGCTATCTCATTACAAACTCAAATAGGACTAAATCCATTGACACTGACAAGCTGTCTCCCCTCAAGGTTGAAAACAATTAATATCAATCCGCACACACACCAAACACCCTCCTGACATCAAGTCTCACACAAGTATTTTACTTGTGCTGCATTCATTCCATCAGGGCATTCAAACCAGTTTCTAAACATGTAGTTTTAAAACAGAAATCTAAACTCTGCATTAAATTTGCAATTGCTTTGTATCAGATTCTAGCAGCACGTTTCAAATACGTTATATTATATTAAGACTAGTTTGATTATTTGTCCACAAAAATAAAATAAAATAAAATAAAAAGGTCAGTGTGTAAAAAGAGCTTTCAGGTGATTCTTAGGAAGACAGTGAGAGCAAAACAGTTTACAAATACCGTCTCCAAGATAAAATTAAAAGGATTTTAGCATGTTATCATGTATCACTGACAGGATTCAAAGTCTCATCACATAAAGGACAAGGCTGAATGCTGAAGGGGTAATAAATCTCCAGTCCCTCAAGACAGCAACGTAATAAAAATTAGAACTAATTATGATAGAATTCAAGGAGTTACACTTTACCACGCAAAGAACATATTTGATAAAGATGCAGGAACACATAATCTGATTTAATCTTATTCTGTGATCTGACAGGAAATCTTAAGACTACAGAAAATTGACTCTTAAGGCTTAAAAAGGAGCAATAATCATTAAGTTCGTCAGCAGTGTGTAGTACAAAATCCAGTATCATGAATGCTAAATTATACATTTAGTTTTTAAAAGGCTGCTTATACAACAGTCTCCTTTATAGGACAGACATTTAGTATGATGACAGGACAGGAAGATGGCGTGACTCAGGGGAAAGAAAAAACGTTTACACAAACATTTTTTTTCCTTTTCCAGAGTAGTCACTCATTAATTGTTTTAGGAAACAAAACACACCTAAATAAAATAGAACAGTGGTCAGCATAGTCTTAACATGTTTAAATTTCTTAATAAATGTACAAATATTTGGTGTCAATTAATGTCAGGTTGTTTTAGAAAAATCATCCCCCTAGTGAACAGGTGGGCGGCACGGTGGTGCAGTTGGTATAGCTGTTTCCTCTCTGTGAGAAGGTTGCAAGATCGAATCCCAGCCGGGGACCTTTCTGGATGGAGTTTGCATGGTATCTCTGTGAGTTTTCTCTGGGTACTCTGGTTTCCTCCCACAGACCAAAAACATGGACGTTAGGCTGACTGGTAACTAAATTGTCCCTAGGTGTGAAAGAGTGTGAAAGGTTGTCTCGTTTGTCTCTATGTGTCCCTGTGATGGACTTGCGACCTGTCCAGGGTGTACCCCACCTCACGCACAGTGATCGCTGGATATGGGCACCAGTGACCTCCCACGAACCGAAAGGGAAAAAAATGGGTAAAGATAATGGATGGATGAAATATGTAAAGCTCTTATTTCATGTAATTTTGATGATTATAGCTTACAAATAATGAAAAACAAAACTCATAATCTAAAAAATTAGAATATTGTGAATAGGTTCAGTATTGGAAACATGGTGTCACACCCTAATCAGTTGATTAACTCCTAGACATGAGCTACAAATGTCTCATTCCTCAAGTCCAGTCACTCCTGAACCAGAGACATCATCAGAAGTGTTTTACCTGGCTGAGGAGAACAAGAACTGGACTGTTGCTCAGTGGGCCAATGTCCTCTTTTCAGATTAAAGTAAATTTTGCATGTCATTTGGAAATCAAGGTCTCAGAGTCTGGAGGAAGTGTGGAAAGGCCCAGAATCCACGTTGCTTGAAGTCCAGTGTGAAGTTTCTACGGTCAGTGATGGTTTGGGGTGCCATGCCATCTGCTGGTGTTGGTCCACTGCGTTTTCTGAAGTCCAGAGTCAACGTAGCATCTACCAGGACATTTTAGAGACTTCCTGCTTCCTTCTACTGACGAGCTTTATGCAAATGCTGGTTTCATTTTCCAGCAGGACTTGGCACCTTCCCACACTGCCAAACGTACCAAAAGCTGGCTATGTAATAATCTAATCTATTCTAATCTTCTGAGACACTGAATTTAGTTTTTTTTCATTATTTGTAAGCCATCATCATCAAAATTACAACAAATAAAGGCTTGAAATATTTAATTATGAATAATGAATCTAAATGTTCACTTTCTGAAATGACTGACCATCAAAAAAAACCTTTTCTTGATATTCTATTTTAGATGCACCTGTGTTTGTATTTAATCATTACCACATACCTGCACAAGTCTGCAAAAACCTGAAAGTTCAGTTTTTTCATCTTCTTCTCGCTGAGCCAGTAGCCAAGTCTGCGACCTTTCAGGAAAGTCTGCATGTCTTCTGAGCTCCTGTGTCCCTTTTTGAAAGTAAACGATCCGACTGGAGGCTCAACCTGAACAGGAGAAAGCAGGAACTCGTCAAAAATCTGTCACAACAGCAACTAAAACACATTAACTACAGCTTCCTGGCTTGTGAAACGTCACCTCCACAGTCAGAAGTGACGCTTTTTCTTTCTGCTTGCATGTTTCCTTAAAGTCTTCACACTCATGGTTGGAGTTAATCAGTTTTAAAAAAGCGATTTTAAATTATGCGTGTTGTTCATCAGAGAACCCCTCGCACGCGCTGACTATCTTGCTAACACCAACGGCTAACGTTAGCTGGCTAACTGTAATGACAACCTACACAACTAACGACATGAAAAAAAAATTAAATTAAAGCTAATATTAACTCTATATCTATAACTAAATAAATCGTGCTAGCGACCACTTAACTATAAAAAATAAGCAACAGATATAACTACTTAGATGAAAGTGAGAGAGGCTACAGCTAACTAACCTGGTAGTTTTAGCACCCGGTTATTCGTGTCCTCTTTCAAAGCTAACTCGGACAGCGTCCCATTTTCAGTCCGTCCACAGGAGAAGGATACAGAACCGAAGTGACAGATGACAGCTACCGCCGGACCCAGATGTTCCTAGTGTTTCTCTGTCACGCTCTGAGCTGAAACTGTGTGACTGACTGCACACACCCAGGATCCTGGAGACTGATGCTGCGTTCATCTGCCCCTCGGAAATTATACAAACTCTGCCCGTGCAACCGCGCTCTGCTCGTTTCCGATAATGATTAACGCTCCCGTTATCTTATCGATTTGTCATTTCACGATAAAATTGAAGTAGAATGATAACATTTAAAACAATACACACATTTTATTTTGCATGCAAGATCCAAGCCGTATTTAATTTAATTTTAACGTAATGCAGAAAACACAGCTACGACTAGCGGGAAGTAAACGTCTCACCAGTCGCTGTGCTTTTTTTTAACTAACAGGGATTAAATATTCTTTGTTATATCAGTTCGTTTAATCGTTTATTTACTCAGACACTATAGCTCCGACTGAACAAGTTCCGTTTGTTCAATTGTCAGTTTATTTTTCATAAAGATTTGCACAAAATACCTGGATCTGTAATTTTGTGTATACTGTGCTGCAGCCTGCATGCGAGCGCGAGTACTGACGGGAAAATGTTATTTTATCTGTTGACAAGGGTTGATTTAAGGTGGAACATGTGACAACAGCGGTCCCTGCTGGTCAAACACGTGTACAGCCGAAATTTAACAAATACAAACGTCAATCAAAGGCAATCAAACCGATTTTATACATTGTTAACAATTCAAAAAATGCAACATTTATTTTAAGAACAAAATAAAATGTTTAAAAAATGCACATCGGTTTTGGCACCAGCTAAGAGGCAGACGAAAGAACTACATTTCATATTTTTGCCTAGTTATCTATCAGCATAAAAGGTTTGTAAACTTTCTTTCATTCTTTTTTTTTTTTTTACATACAACATGAAATGACACCATAATTACTGTCTACTCTTGTGTCAGTTTTGTAGTAAAGACTTTTTTTTTTTGTTTAAAAAACTTGTTTGTGGTGAAAATAAGTTGATGATCAAATGCCATCATGAGATTAATAAATCATGTGTCAAGTATTTCAATCAAACCCAATCAAAAGCCAATTAAGAGTATTTACGAAATCATTTTTGGACAATAAGAACCCTTCTTTTATAATTAGCTTTAACTCCACATTAAAACTAACCAAACATTAAAACTAACCAAACATTAAAACTAACCTGGAGAGTTACCAGGTGTTTATAGACAAGTTCAGTAGTAAGACTCATGGTTATGGTCAGCCTGTAAACATTTCCTTGTTATCTGAAGGTAAATTGTTAATTCAATTCAATTCAATTCAATTCAATTCAAAAACACTTTATTACTCCCAGAGGGAAAATATTTGTTGTTGTAACTCGTTATCCTCATTTCATTAAGAGATGTTATAGATGCTGATGGCTGTAGACAGGAAGGATCTCTTGTAAAGGTCCATCCCACAGTGGATCCTAAGAAACTGGCTGCAGATGCCGTCTGATCCATCCACCCAGACTCGGCTGGCCTCTCGGTTCTCCCGGGCTGTAGGATCACCCGAATGCCGGGCAGAACTCCTCCCAGAGCGATGGCCACTCCTCCCAGCAGTCTGCTGAGCTCCTTGTCCCTGCGGACAGCCAAATGTAGGTGCAGAGGGACGATCCTGTCCTTCCGCTGTCATGAGCTGTGTTTCCTGCTAGTTCCAGGATCTCAGTGGTCAGGCACTCGAGCACAGCTGGCAGGTAGATGAGAATGCATCCACAGAACATCCTTTTCAACTCATTTGAGATTTGGGGCTGCAGTTGAGATATTATTTGAGCTTTTCAGATGTTAATCAGCTGCTGTTGGTTATAGAAAACTGCCTTGTTGCCATGGTTACGCATCATAACAAATGTCCAAAACTAAAAAAGTTTCAGTAAAAATCCTTCCGGCTGCACAGCGTCTGATACCAGAGGAAACCATCATCCAAAAAATGTGATTTACATCCAGAAAAAGAGGAATTAAAGTATCCAAAAGCAAAATCTCAGAATGAACGTAACAGAGCTGCTCCAACATGCAGCCACCTTGAGCGGCGCAATTCTAGAACTGGATATTGTAGTATTGTAATAGTATTGTAATATTGGAGCTAATATGACCTTAGCTCGAGCTAATTATGATGTTAGCCAAAGAGCTAATGAATATGACGTTAGCTCCAGCAACAACTTTTACTAGAAAGATGCTGCATTTGTGCATTATGCTAGCTGTGTGAACACTGATTCATTATTTATACAATTATTAACTTAATAAATTGATATTTATTTAACCAGGCAAATCCCATTGAGATCTCTTTTGCAAGGGAAGCCTGGGTCTGAAGGCAGCCTAACGTGCATGCTTTTTGTCTGTGAGAAGAAACTGGGAATACCCAGAGAAAACCCACGCAAACACGAGAAGAACATGCAAACTCCACAGAAAGACCCCAGGTCCAACTAGGGATTGGACCCATGACCTTCTTGCTGTGAGGCAACAGTGCTAACCACTGAGCCATCGTGCTGCCAATGCCCTGATAGTTTTTAGCGCTCTTATTTTAGTGAGCCATTTACTATTTTCAGTCAGTCTTTTGCCTCATTTGACTTTTAGCTAACATGTAGCTAGCTTTTAGCTACCATTCTGCTTATTTTAGCGACACTTGTAGTTACTTTTTCTTCTTTAGCTTTTAGCTTGTGTTTTGCTACTTTTAGCTAGCCTTTTGTTACTTTTAACTTCTAGATAGCCTTTTTCTACTTTTGGTTTTTAACTCGTTTTTAGCTTTAAGCTACATTTTGCTTTTAGCTAGCGTTTAGCTTATACCCTTGAAGTTACTTTTTCTCCTTCAGCGTTTAGCTTGTGCTTTGCAACTTTTAACTAATCGTTTGTTACTTTTAACTTATAGCTAGCCTGTTTCTACTTTTAGCTTTCAACTAACTTTAAGCTTCAAGCTAAAATTTAGCTTTTAGTTGGCATTTTGCAACCTTTAGCTGCTTTTTCAGAACGCACCAAATAAAAATAAAAAAATATATAATTTCTGTAGTTAATCGTAAATATACGTTGTACAAAAACTACTACTATAATATACAAAGACAAAAACAAATGTATTTATCATGACTGTTTGTTGCTTGCAAGCGAAGTAAAGTGACGTCACTTCCTCCACGCGGTCCCGGCTTAAACTCCCGCCACAGGAACCGCAGCGCGATTCGTCAACAGTATTGTTTAGCCTCTTACCGAGCGGATTCACCGTGTTTTCCCCCCTCACAGAAACATGGCAGCGAACAGGCCGAACTCGGAGGCAGACGAGGTTCTGGTCACCGACGAGGAGCTGGAACAGGCTCTGTGTGTGCTGGCGGGAAGCGATGCAGAAAACTGCTCCTATTCTCGGGTAAGGAAATCCTGCACCGCGTCACTGCGCCGCCTTTGTTGCTTGGTTCAGACATAAATACTCACTGCGCGCATCTTTTCATGCTTTTGTGTTTGCATTGTAGTTAAAATAGACTCGTGGTGAAATATTTGAAAATCTTCACCGGGGGGGTGATTGTTTTGTGCTCATCGTTGCAGGGTTACGTGAAGAGGCAGGCGGTGTTTGCCTGCAACACCTGCACTCCCAGTGCTGCAGAGCCTGCTGGGGTTTGTCTGGCCTGCGCCAATAAATGCCATGATGGGCACGAGATTTTTGAACTGTACACCAAAAGGTACAAGTCTGCACCGGGGGTGTAATCTGATTAATGTTTGGACCCAACCTAATTTGAGATGACCTCTGCAACTGATAGACCAGCTTTAACTCTTGTCATTGTTACAGCTATTGCTCTAAAATTTGGCTTGGTAAAGGGTCATCCACAAAACATACTGAGCACTACAAAATCTTGCTAGATCAAGGTTTAAATATTTGTTTTGAAAGGTAGGCATGCTTGTGGTATGCATTCTTTCAGTCATTATTGTGAATTCGAGTAATAATTGTGCTGAGCTTAATAAAACGGTGTCCCCTGGATTCCCAAACTCCCATATTGCAGTATTTTTTTTTAAATTTTAAACAAATCTTTGCAAATTCTGTAATGGCTTTAGATTTGATCATTTTTATACCCCTGGTCTGTGTTTTGTATCAACATTAAGATAAGCCCTTTGCTTATTTGCTAACTTTCTGTTACGTCTTGCAGAAATTTTCGCTGCGATTGTGGAAATGCCAAGTTTGGCGGTTTCCAGTGCCAGCTCGTCCCGGTGAGCTCACCGAATCTACATTCGTAATCCCTGTTTGTGTGCCATGTGTGTAAAATTCACCTTGTATTTGCGTGTTTTTCCAGGCTAAAGACGAGAACGTTAAGAATCGTTACAACCACAACTTTGGCGGCCGCTACTGCATATGTGACCGTCCATACCCAGACACGGATGAGCAGGTATTCCCTTAGCATCGTGCAGATTTGGATAAATCTCCCAGTTTTCAGTTTGTATCATCACCTAATGGAAAAGCGTTTTCAACAGGATGACGACGAAATGATTCAGTGCATTGTCTGCGAGGATTGGTTTCACAGCAGGGTAAGTGTGAGAGGATTCATGTTTCCTGGTTTTAATATAATTTACATTTTAATCACCTCTGCAAGGTTTCCGCTTTTTGTTTTAAACAGCACTTGGGCTGTGCTGTGGCTGAACCAGAGGAGCTGCAAGAGATGATCTGTGAGGCCTGCATGAACAAAGCTCCTTTCTTGTGGACGTATGCCGTTCACCTCGCAGGTAACCACTTTGAGATGTTTTTTTTTAATCCCGCTCTTTGACACGCAGCTGAATATGTATGGCTGTATCCTTCAGTGCTTCCTGTGATCAATGTCAGTCACTCCGAGGAGGATGCGGAGGTCAACGTTGAGGAAACCGAGGAACATCAAAGCAGGGAGGAGGAACCAACCACTAGTGATGATCATACAAAGGTGGTAAATAATAGATTAGCCTGGAGGATTCAGGTACATTGGTTTTAAACTGAAAACAAAAATATGTATTGATTCAAACATCTGTAACTGTTCATACAGAATTTAAACACAATGATTTGCTTCTATGACAATGGTTTCTGCTTTTGACATTTTTCCACTTCAATAATGAATTCAATGGGAGCAAAAGGCACAAATGCAGGTTTGTTTTTTGCCACAAGGTGGCGCCAAAGGGTAAGAAGCAGATTTAGATTTAGAGGAGACTTCAGCTCCTGTTTTTGTGTGCATTCTTTTCCTCTGGGTAATTAGAGGAGAACTGACCCGTGAGGCTCCGCTTCTCTAACTCTGTAGACAGCCTCTGCCAAGCTCCAGAGCTTACAGTAAACTGGAGATTTTCATCATCCAGCCGTTGCATCGTGTCAAGTTGTCTGGAGACTTCCTCAGATCTACTGCCGTTATGAAAATGTACAGCTGTTGAGTGTCTGGTGCCAACATTTATTTATTTTTTTTATCATTTGCACGGTAGGAAGTGGAGAACAGGTGTTCCCCAGGCAAACGAACTCACGGGGGAATGACGAGCTGCTCTTTAAGGGGCACAAATGGAAGTGCGGCGTGCAGGCTGAAGGAGCTGCAGGCGCAGGGGTTAGCCAGGCTGAGGCAGGGAGCAGTGTTCTGGCCCTACGGTTGGCGCTCGGACCTTTGCAACTGCACGAGCTGCAAGGTAGGCTGACACACATCCTTGATCCTTGTGCACGAGTATCTTCGAAGGTAATACACATTCATCACCTGTGTCTTCAGAAGCTTTATGTGGCTACAGAAGTTCAGTTTCTCCTGGACCAATCTGACACTGTTCTGGCCTATGAGAAGAGAGGATTGGAGGCACCGTTTGGGCAGCACCCACTGATGGCACTGATAAGCTCGATGGACCGTGTGCAGCAGCTGGAGGTCATTTACGGTGAGGATGGGATGGGAAGGGCAGGAAGGAAGAAATCAGATTGCTCTTCCTCAGATGCAATCATGTAAACCTGAACAAAAACGGAGCCCGAGAGACTTGGTGCACTAAAATAACCGTCTCCTTCCAGGTATCAATGAGCTGACCGCTGCGATCAGTGAGTTTTTCGAACAGTGCGTTTCTGAAAGAAAGGTAAGAAACGATTGTTGCCGAGTCACGTTTTACTGGACTTGGACTTTCACATCCAAACTGAATCCTTCTCTCTGTGTCCGTCAGACTGTCACAGTTGGAGCCATACATGAACTTTTTGAAGAACTGCGAGAAAGAAAAAGACGCAGAACCAATCCAGGATATGAGTAATAAAGTTTACTCTGCTGCCATCATATGCTGGGTTCATACAGTGCTTTAAAAGATTTGTCATCTTGAAGGACTTTTTTTTGTTTGTTCCAAAATATGGAGTTTTTAGCCAAACACGTTGGTATGATGCTTGGAAATGTGCCTGCAGTACCCATTTGTTTTGTTCGGGTATTAGGATTATAATTTTTATGCCTTTCTGAAATGCAACTTGAAACATTTGCAGATATTGCACATTGAACCTTTTTTTTTTTTTTTTTTTAACAGAAGCGATTGTTTCTGCACAAGATGTCTTCAAGTTCGTTCCCTTTCAATGCTCGCAAGATGTAATTGTTCATGATTGTAATTAAAACTTGTTTTAGTTGGAAGTTAAAGCTTTTGTTTAATGTTTGCCGTTCGTTTAAACTGAGCTGGCGTGCTGTGAAGGATGGCCTTTGAATGTGGAATAATACAAATAAAACTAGAGAAATTACTTTTTTATTTTGCAAAAATGCAGTGTGAATGACTTTACTGGAATTTGCTGAGAAAGCTGTACCAGAATTATTAAAGAGTAGAAGACAAAAATAGATGTCAAGTACGTTAAAGCAAATGTTAACAGTTTTTGAAGTAACTGACAGTGTAATTGAGATTTTTTTTTTGTAAAGTTTAAAATTTACAAAAAAACATCTGAATGAGCCGAGTGTTTTGATTTTGGCTATTAAAAAAAGCACAGTACGCAGAAATAGATTGTTTTCCTGTTTATTTTTTGCAAACAGTTTATTCTGAAGATGCCAAAGTTGACCACTGTTATGCACCTTTTGAGGCGACAGTAGAAAAATAGATTCAGTGAAACTAAATGCAACTTAATATTGATCTACAAACAAACACCGTTTCTATATCATACAAGTACAGTGTACTTGATACAATTCATCACAAGCAGTCGCACATTTCAGGTGGTTCATTTTTTCCCCAAAAGTTGCTAAGTAACACTATGTACTGGAAACGAGCTACATGAGATTTCTACTTGATGCATGCTGGTAAGCTGGTAGAAAAGAGCTTGCATAGACATCAAAGTCACTGATCCAATAAAAGCCCAGCCGTGGGCAGGGGAAGGCACTGACTTCTCTACAGCAAAGAGCAAAACAAGGACTTTGACTCAATGGAACATTGTCCAGGAAAATAATAAAAGCAAGAGCTACCCAACATGAATATGGGGAGGAATCTGTTGAGTTTTGCATTTTTTTTCCCCATGAAGCAACAAAGATGGGAAAAAGATTTTTCTGCTTGGCAAACTCATCAAATGCAAAGCAGAGCGTAATATCTTGATATCCACATGTTGCACTTAAATATGATGGAATCAGCTCTACGAACATGGCAATCCACATTACCTACGATATTTAAAAAAAAAAAAAAAAAATGCTCTCAATGTATAACATTTAACAAAGGATTCTGAAACACAATCTATGTTTTGTACCACAAATTACTAGTGAGACTTCATGACAAAGACAAGTACACAGTGCTGTCCACTACAGTTAAAAACATAGACCTTCAACAACCACTAAAATGTGATAGAAACCGTTAAAAATTCATCAGAACGTGTGGAGCTAAATTCATTATATACAATTTCCATTGGATATGTGCAAGCAATCGCCGACTTTTCCCCGGCGTAGGTCATCTTTTGTTCAAAATTCATTTGTTCTTCCCTTCTGTTAACACCCAGATGGCTCCAACAGTGCAAAGATACTTGTGAGGTTTTATACCAGCTCTCAGCTGTAACAGGCTCGTGTGTGTGGACTTGTAGGCTTTTTGGAGCTACAGCTGCAGCGGGTCTCAAAACAATATATGTAACAGTATCAGCGCTGCGTATGCATATCTATCTCTCGTGAGGGGGAAACATGGAGGTCCGGTTTATGCATATTGTATTACGATTAAGTAAAATCAACCTCTAATGTATTTGCAGTGAAAATACAGGAGTTAAAAGATATGAAACATTTAAATTAATAAAAGTAGCTAAAACTGAATAATCTAAGCACTTGTTAAGGCTTTAGACTTGATTACTTGATGCTAAACATAACGGGGAACTTCCATACAATCACTGCACTCTGTGCCAGACTGGTTAATATCCTCAGACTCTGATATGTACAAAGACCTGACTAAAATGGGAGTGTACAGTACTGAGATTGTCTAAACACCTGTGTGCATTAAAGTTATCCTTGCACACGGAAACAAACACACACACCTGCTTCAGCTGCTAGTCCCAGCAAGCCGTCTGATAGCTGTACGTCAGTCATCGCGGCACCCTTATGTTTTCCGCTGTAGTAATGAATCCACCTGTGACTCTTTTGCTTCTGGTGGCCCCACCCAGCTGAAAACACCAGGCCTTTAAGCTAAACACAAAGGCTACGATAGTTAACGCCTGATATAACTTTCAGACTCTGTTACTAGGAAATAATGAGCTCTGATGACCTACTTCCTATCAAATGTAACTCCTACTTTGTGCGTCAAAGTCTCGGTTCACTACATCAATTGTGAAAACGCAGGGCCAGGAGACAGAAGATACTCAAGTGGGTTTTCATGGACGTGCAACGAGAAGAAATGAAAACACGATAAGGAGCAAAAGAACATGGTCTGACATATTTACATATGATGTTATCACAATACTTTGTCCTTGGTTGTGTGACGTTATACAGCTGCATAAACAGATTCTTATCCACTGGTCCTCCCATTGTCTGCAAGAGACAACAGCGTTCGCCAATGAAGTCTTTGTTCAGGCATGAGTTCATAATTGAGCAATAAAAATGGTGAGACCACTTCATGCAGACTTCACACACCACAGAGCCAACATCCCTCTTCAGAATCGAAATCAAGAGATTATTCCATCATATAAAAACTCTCAAACATCCTGGAAACCTGCAGGCCTGGCCACACTTGCAGCAAAAGCGAACCAACTTACTCTTTCCATACGGACTGTGTCATGGATAGCATAGTGTGATAGAGGTAGGACAAAAGGTTAGATTCTATAAATAGCAACATCTACAACCCCTTTTCCCAGCTCCTCTCAAACACACACACACACAGGCACACGTTTAGTGCTTTGCCGTCCATTTTGATGAACAACCACTCATGTTTTTCCCTTTCTTAACTCAAACCCCCTGGTCCTGAACTGGGGTTAAAGTGCTGATTTTTTATAAGGGTAGTCAGGTTTGCTGGGCGACCTGCGGTCTCTGACAAGATCTTCGCTGACACTGTTTCTGTGGGGCTGCTGGAGGGGCACTGGACCTGATGACTCTCCACCTAAAACCATTTCTTCTGGAGCATCTCTCGGTCCTATGTGCCTCTCTTCATAGCTGTTCATATTTCCACTGGGGGACCGTAAATGACCTAATCCATGAGTCAGGTCTGTCTCATTTGGTCGCCCCTTAGGGAACTGTCCCATCCTGGACTGAGGCCCAGAGGGGCTGGCAAGGACTCCCTCATGCCTCTGGGATTTTATACTGAGAACATCCAGTCTTAGAGGGTCGGGAGCAGACCGTCCTAGCGTGTGGCTGTGGGGCTGACAGTCAGAAACATAAGGAGGGGGATATGACCCGGATGGGTTGCAGCTGTGGCTGTAAAGATCTGGTCCTGGAAATGTGGCCAGAGGGTGAGAGGAAGTTGGTGTTGCAGGTCGACAGGAGAAATCATACAGGTCAGGGAACTCGGCTTGAACTTCTAGTTTGGGTTCTGGAGCGTGTCTCTTGCAGGAGTGGCCATGTCCGGGACCATAGCCATGGTTAAGGCGGGCAGAAGGACAGGACCCATGGGGCAGATAGTGGCCTGAAGGTCCCATGGGGCTGCGAGGACCTTCCCTGTCCATCTCTGCCATGTGCTGCTCCCTCAGGGACATGACTGAGACACCAAGTGCAATATCAGGCATGAACTCCCTTATAACAGGCTCCACACTCATCTGCATGAGAAAACAGATATGTTGCCATTACCAGACTGATAAGAAAATAAATAAATAAATAAATAAAATAAAAATCAAGAAATAAAAATAAAAGCAATTAAAAAGTATACAGAACAATAATCAAAGGAGGTCTAAGACCCAAACTCACCACTTGCTGGTCTGAGAGCAAGGTTCGGCCCATAGCCTGTGGGTTGGTGCAGTCTGGGGGCTGGGACCTGGGTGCAGATGAGTACTCTGAACTGCCATGCTTGGAGGCTGCATGGCGCTGGATCAGACTGCGGTTGCAGGGGTAGGAGAAGGAACGAGTGGGGGTCGGAAGGGGCACACGAGGCCGCCAGGCGCCCTTGAGCTGGGCATGGCTGGGTGTGGTAGGGGGGTGATAAGGGGGAGGTGGAGGAGGTAGGGGTGGGTGGAAACCTACTACCCCTTCCAGCTCTGTTATCATGCTGTCCATGGCTGGACTGCTGTTTACTCGACAGCGACCCACCTGGCGCAGGGCCAGAATTGGACTCTCATCTCCGAACCGCTCATCCGGAAAGAACTTGGATGGGTTCTGAATGAAACAAAAATACATTTTCCTATAAGGTTGGAATGTGGTGAGATCTGTCTGAGCTTCATGTTTTGCCACTCTGTTAAGTGTCCCAGCCTGAACCAGCTTATTCTCCTTTACCTGCAGGAGCTCCGTGGCTCCATCTGCCAGACCGAACTCCCTCAGCACCCGAAGCTGCAGCTCGTAGCTGACTGTGGCTCCCTCACCGCAGTTAAGTGCATAGGCTCGCTGGACCTGCTCTGTATGTCTCAGTTCGTGCAGTCGTCGAATCATATTCTTTACTACAGACAGTGGAGGCACTGGAAAAAGCAAAGGATTTGTGTTTTTTCCACATTGTTTCACTGGAAGAACATGGTGCTCAGAAGATCACCACCAGTCTTTGAGCATGTTGCCATTTGTGCTCCTTTTTTTGCAAACTTTTCAGAAAATTCTCACTTTATAATAAGTACCTGGAATTTCGTTAGCCACAACCGATGGAGCTGCGCTCGTGTTGCATGCCATTTGTTGGTGGTTGATCATGTGACAGCACTGAGGCACGGCGTTGTTGACCATGTAGAGTGTGTCTGGGACGTTTGACATGCGCACCAGTCGCAAACGTACCAAGTCTGTCTGCTCCACCATCATTTCATCAAGCACAGACTGAGGCCACATAAAAAAGTACAATAAATCTGTGCAACTCAAGGACACAAAGTACATTTAGCAAATTAGTTCCACTTGACTGACACCTTCAATAATGATTCTCTCTGGTCCATGGATATGTTCATTAATATTCATAGGCCTGTAATTTATAAGGAAATTTTGCTAATGGAAATTAAATTAATTTTACTTAAGACGATGGAGGATATTATTTAATAAAATGGCAAGTATCCATAGCAGCGTTGATAGTTTTAGTATGCATGTCTGAGCTCTGTCTGAAGTTAATGAGCCTCACCTTAGCCTCCTCAACGTAAGGGGAGAAGAGTCGAGGACGCACATAGATTCCTGCATTCTTCTGCCGTAACCAGGCGTTGGCTTTTCCACCCTCAGCCGTGGGCAGCATGTCTGATGGGGGGGTACTAATCAAACCCCTCTTAAGCTGTGAACAGAGTGCACAACGGGGATCGATATTCAGCCCATGAAGGTCACAGTCAGTCAAACACACATTGATAGAAAACACAATAGCAAAAGAAAAAAGAACGAGGAGGAGTACTGACCGCGTCGGCGAGGACATCACTGTTGGGAGGCAAGATGTGCTCAGTTCGGATGTAGGGCAGGAGGGGAGACAGGATCTCCTTCAGCTCCTCTACATCCAGGTCCCGCCTTTTCACTCCCCTTTTGTTGACGCTGTGGGCTGTGCCACTCAACAGGTTGGGCTCTGGGTTAACAAGGACAGGAACAGTCAACAGCAGATTTTTAATACAACGCAGATTAAATTAATTATTTATTCAACTATGACTATTAAGTTTGCGACCTGCTAGCTATTTCCACACAGTTTGACAAGTTTCAATTAAGCTCTAGATAAATATGACTTCGCCTGCAGCGTGGCTCATGTGGCTGAATAGATTTGCTGGCTCATACCATATTAACAAAACATCATTTATCAGGTTTAAACACATAATGACATAAAAAAACAAAGTTGAAGTCACTTTATGTTGACTTCTATTTATGAGGGTAAGTTTTTTTAATCTTAAGTGTATTTTGGGGGCTCTTGTAAGTGGGCAATTTCATCAGAGCAATTAGGGGGTCCGCTGAGAGGGTAATTATAGAGTGTATTATCTTACCCCTGTCTGCCATCCTTTTAATAAGCTGCTGTTCGCCCCACTTAACAACGTATTTGAGAATGTCCTGTTCACTGGCCTGTGAATGACACCAAGATGGAGCAAGAGAAGGATAAAGGGCAAGAAGAAAGAGCCACACAAAAGTATTAACAGAAACATGAGACACTGTGAGAAACGAAACTGGGGAGCTGTTAAAACGGGGATCAGAAAAATGCAGCATGTTCAGACTGTGTGTAGCTGGATTACAACACTTCAACCATCTGGTCCAGTGCCCAACTTGTTTGGCAATGCAGAGGAGAACTCAACTTTGATTAGATTCAGGGTTTAAAGTGATAACTTCCAGGGAATTGTGCTTCTCAATCTCAAGGACTGAGCATGTAAATATATGTGTTGGTCACATGTATCGTGTGTGAACTGAAAGACTGCATAAAAAAAAAATCAGTACTTGTGAAACGTTAAAAGATGTCAAAAACAGACTGCTGTACCTGAAGGTAGTCAGATTGAATTGCGCTGAGAAGGTGTTCTTTGCCGAGCTCGTAGAGAACATCAGAGGTGACGACCTGACTGAACTCTTCGCAGAGGAAGTGCATTGCCTGCCTGTGGACCCACTTGGAGCCATACGGCTGGGAGCTCCACTTCAAAATAGGAACCAGTGAGTCCAGTGACAAACTTTCAACAATGATGTCTTCACATCCTGGAAGAAAAGATGCAAAGAGGAAATTTACATCTTCATGTTCAGTCCAGTCCTCTTTTTAGCCAGGAACGCACCATAAATAATTTAAAACTGACAGATATAAATGATAAAAAGCAAACCGATACTATGTACAACTTGCATCACTGCCAAATAAGCAGTAGTTTTGATTGTCATTCACTGACCCATAGAGTCTCCCTCTAGTAGCCTCCTGCATCCTCCATGCTGCGCTTTTAAATCAGAGCACATACCAGAACAGCAGGCAGTGGCTTTACCCCGTAACACACCAACCCACAGAAATGCCTTTGATACCTTGATGTGTTTTAGTCTCAAGCTGCCTTCCCTTTACCGTGTTAAGTAAACACAGCAGCCTGAGGAAATTTTTCAGAGTGTGTGTGCTGCCGGTGGGCCAGCACACACACTCTGAAAATGTGCATGCACACTTGTGTGCCAGAATCAAAAATGCATTAACAAGCCACAGAAGGTTTAGGGAATTATGTACTTGCTGCTCAAGCAGTTCAAAATAGAACTATGTTCTGCAAACACAGCCAACACTGGCACTAAAAGTCACACTAAATCTAAGAGGGATCCATTAAGGAAGAAACAAAATAATAAAATATCCAAAGTTCATTTGAAGTACATAAAAATCAGTTTAGTCAGGCACAACTGTGCCAACCCAAAACAAGACAGAACTTAAGAGGCTCTTAGTAAAAATGATTCTCTGATAGTGAATGTTGAATACAAAATAGACATTCATTGAGAAAAAAAAAAAAAAAAAGAGACTGATAAGTCAGAGCTGCGCTGAACTGAAATACGAGCTTTCCAAATTTCACATTCCAGTCCGTCCTGTCTATCATTTCATCTTTGGGCCAGTCGCATTGCTCCTCAGGGAAAATCTTATCTTAAAACAGAAATTTGGAGCTGCACTTCCCACCCCAGCCCACCCCTTTGAACATGCACACAGAGAAACTGGCTTGCAGACATGACAAGAGTGATGCCCCAAGAGATAGTTTTGAATTGCAAGCTTTATGTCCATCCAAGCAATGTGTGCACATTTTAATGCTGACATTTTAAATGATAATGTACAGACGTATGCATCACTTATGTGCGCACATTAACGCGTTTTCCTTTCCGGCTGTCCTTGTTGTTTTTATAGTAAGCTAAAGAAACAGAAAAGGCAGGGTAGAAATCCCAAATGATTAAGAGGATAAATGAGGCTGAAATTTGGTCTAATGCACCTTTAATTTCTGCGATGAAGATGCCGTAAGAGCTAATGGATTCCAAGCATACGTCTCTCCTCGTCTATTTCTGCTGTCTGTCTTCTTGAAAGAGCTACAACTTTTTAAAGGCAATTACTATTGCTTTTTGAAAGCAGACACACAGGCACCCACCAGCAGCAGCAAGCAATTCCCCACGTGGGACCAAAGACAGAAAAACAAACATCTCTGCTTTGAGTTAGCCTATTCCAATCCACAGCAACAGCCTGTCTTTTAAAACAAAGCACTTTTATTATGAGGTGGAGATTAGAATCAGCATTATATCTGAAGCTAACCCTCCTTTCTCTCAACGGGTGGCACACCACATTTACTGGAGCTTAACTGGCAAGATCAACACAACAGCAAAAATGTCAGCCGTCATTTTCACATTATGTAATTTTGACGTAAACATTTTATTTTTGCCTTCACGGATGACGACTAATCAAGGACTGGGGCTAATACGGGCACAAGATGGCACCAAATGAAATGGTCAGGCAGCTAGTTTGCCAGGAAGAGTTGAGCTTTGTGGTTCGTTTAAAAATCATTAAGTCTTTTAAGTTTGGTTGTCATCCGAGTGAGATGTAGCCCTAAAATGGAAGCACATCTTGACGTGTAACATGCACCATCAAAACCCTAAGGTAGAACTTCTTACGATAAAAGAAAATGAAGAGATGAAGTACACAAGGAGGGGAGGAATACTGTCTGAAGATTAGATGGCTTTCTCCACATGAAACTTGTGACATAAACCTCTCTGCTGCCTCCTGGAGAGAGCTGGCAGTTCTTGAGGTCTGAAGTGGCAGGGTGGATTCTGCCAAAAAAATCTTGTTCATAATTTACCAACAGATGGTGGGATGATTTGTTGTTTGGAGATTGCAGGATTTGAACATCAGAATAAAATGTAAGGGGGATTAAAAAAAAGACTCAAAGCTGCAAGACACACTTCAGATCAAACCTATTTTTCAAAGTTTATGAGAAGCCGTTTGCTCTGTAAGGAAATGATGGAGGCAACAGGCAGCATGAGGGTCTTGTAAGGATGACCTGCTCACAGATTAAAATGACCAACAGCGTAACAGCTCATCACTGAGCGTGATGCGACTGCATGGATCTTATAAAGCCGAGTCAACTCCTCAGTTAATAGTCAAAGAAGATGCTACACCTGTTAGATCCTGAATATTAAAAAAAAAAAAAATTAGAGAAGATTGTCTCTGCAAAATGTTTTCAGCTCTTCTTAGAGGTTCCTCTTTGAGCCGTATGTTCAGAAGTTAGTTTAAAGCAATAAAAGCCACACGTTTGCCACTTGTGAGATCGTATCAAAAGCCGTTATTCTTTTCACCATTTGAAAACCAATAACTGGTTAATGTAAAGCTCATTGTGCAGCTAAATTGACCGATTTATAAGCAAATGCAGCTTCATGAATCAGTGTGGTAACTTTACATGATGCAAACGATTAAACACATCAGAGTAAGTTTGACATCTGCTACTGCTTCCCAGTAGAAGCCCGTTAGTTGTAAAAAAAAATCTCATTAAAGAGGCCCAAAACAAGAACTAACTGCAGTGAGAAATCTAAGAAATCTAATCTGAGTCTAAACAAATCATTAGATGCATTTTAAACCCCCATAATCAAGTTTTTTTTTTTTTTAATGAAACGGTGTGAATTTCACTACACAGCATGAGGCTGTGCAATTTTAAGCTCAAATCATTATGCACATCTTCTTCTTTTCCCTCTTCAGGGATCACCACAGTGAGTCATCCTCCTTCATCTCACTCTGTCCTCTGCATCCTCTGTCCTCACTCCAACTACCTCCATGTCCTCTCTAACTGCATAATAAATCAATTTATCGCAAGATAAATGAAAATTATCGACCTCATTTTCATTTATCAGCTTTATTGTTTCTTCTCGTCTTTTCTTCTCTCTTCGCTAAAAGCAGCTAAGCTGAGAAGCTAAGCTACGAGCTAAACTAACAGGCCGACCTCGGGGAAAAAAACCTCCGTCTTGTCGAAGTTCCAAAATTCACGGTTGAAACCCGTGCCTTCGTGTAAAAAGTTGTTTTTCTCTGAAAAAAGAAGCTGAGAACTTGTTTACCAATTATTTTTTTAAAAAAAGCTTTGTATGACAAATGCTCTAAAGAGCTCAAACCACACCAAGCGTCCGCCAATTTGAGAACCAAAAACAAGGAAGGAGAGACAGCCCATGTCACATCAAGGGACCTCCTTCCCATTTTTCTTAAAGAGACACGCTGCTCGCTCTCTCACTATCCATCCTTCGGTCCAAACAATCTTATACAGTCATCCAGTGGTAAAAAAAAAAAAAGTACTACACTCAAAACAAATTAACCAACATTTCTTCTTAAATTTGACAATAATTACTAATTATAGTCAAATTTCAAACAATAGTATCGTTTATCGCAATAATTTCTGAGACAATTAATCGCCCAGCAAAATTTGTTATTGTGACAGGCCTATCCATATATCTCTGTCTTTTTCCTGGCAGCTGCATTTCTAACATCCTTTTATCAATATACCCACTGTCCCTCCTCTGGACATGTCCAAACCATCTCAGTCTGGTCTCTAACTTTATCTCCCAGTTGTTCAACCTGTGCTGTACCTCTGATCTCATTCCTAATCTTATCCATTCTTGTCACTCCTAAAGAGAACCTCGACATCTTCTTTCCTGCCACTTCCAGTTCCTTCTCCTGTCTTTTTGTCAATGCCATTGTCACCAGACCATACAACATAGCTGGTCTCACCACTGTCTTGTAAACTTTTCCTTTGACCTTGGTTGTCACCCTTTTGTCAAAAATCACTCCAGAAACTTTTCATATTATCATTTTAACTTAAAAAATCCAGTCACCAAGATTGATGAGGGTATGATAATCTAGAAAAATTACAGAACATGATGGGCTGACCTTTTTTATGGTACAAAATGCAGCATGCCAAGACATTTATGCCTTTGGAGGAGGTGTAGGTGATAAACAGATGGTTCAAGTCAAAGCGTGGCTTTGACCTTTAGCGTGTTTAAGAGGTCACTCTTGAACAGTGGCAAGAGTTTAAAAAAAAAACCTGTGTAATCCGAGTAAAGATATATCTGTGATAAAGTGCTGACAGAGGGTTGGATGCACTGCATGAGCCAGCTGCCTGCTCTCAGAAACACAGCCTGTAATACTTGCAGGAACATATTGATACAGGCCATGTATAAACATGTTCCTGCACCGATATTACTGTCAGTGCAAGAAAAATATCAAGACATCGAACATGACGCTTCATGGAGGCATAAAAACAGAATGAACCATGCTCGAGTTTTGCAAGGCATTTTTTAAAAATAAAATCCAATCAGATATGACAAAAACAGCTACAATATTGAGTTAATAGAAAGTGACACTATAATTATGACAGAACAAATGAGCAAATTGGTTTTGAAATTCCCGATCAAGGATGTTTTACTACATTAACTCGGTCAATGTTGAGCGTTTTAAGCAATTTGTGGCTGAGATCTTGGCAGCAATGAGACTCAACAGGAAGGAAGAAATTATCAAGGAATGAGACCACACTAAAAACTGTGCGGCACGGTATGCTTAAAGCGCAGATCTGGACGATTAAATTGAACAAAACGGAACATTATTAATCTGACAGGATTACGTACATTTATTTATATATAAATTCAATAATATCAGGGTAATAGTTCAGTCATTTTTTGTTATAGTAAATTACAAAACTAGACAATACAAGATATATATTGATACACTGAAAAAGAAAAAGGTTTGATTTAGATTTCAAACAACCCAAATATACTATACGTATGGAATATGATTACCATGTTTGCCCTCGTGTTTTGATTTATGTGGTGTACTGACTTACCTTGAGCGAGCATGCTGAACTCCAGAAACAAGGCAATGTGGTACAGCTCCATGGCCTCCTCTGTGCGTGTACTGGCGCCACGGCCCCCTGAAACAAGGGCTTGCACCTCACCGAGGCTGCCTGCTGAAGGGCTGCCACGCAGCACCAGGCTGAGGTCAACAAGGTCAGTGTACATGCAGTGAAGAATGACCTGCACATATTTCCGTGGGATGATGGATTCATCCAGCACTATTCTGGTGGGAGTCTGCAATGTGCGCTCTGTCATTTCCTCTCCTGTGCGAATACGCCTCTGCAGAAGGTTTCTAAAGAATGGGGAGCGTGCTGAGAGAATAGCCTTGTGAGCCCTAAGGTCCTCGTCTGGGGTCTCTGGTGCCCCACTGGCTCCTGAGACTGCTGCTGGTGCTGCAGCCACAGCCCCTCTCTCGTTACAGCTCTCTATCATCTCAGAGTCTGAAGAAAAGCTGAGCAGAGCATCATAGTAGCACATGTAGTCAAACAAGCCCTTCATATCAGCCTCCAGGGAGTTCGGTGTTCCAAACTCCTCACTGAGCTGAACCAGTACATCCACATTTTGCAGCCTGGTATCTTCGGCTCCGCCCACCCCAAACTCCCCGGTGTACAAGTAGTGAAGCAGGGCAGAGAACATGGGCACATCAATGCCAGCTGTGTCAATGTCCATGAGAACCTCTGCTCCATAACCAGGAGAAGAGGAAAGCAAAGTTTTGAAAAAGGGGCAGCGGGCAGCCAAGATGGCCCTGTGAGCTGGGAAACATGTACTTTGGAAGATGAGATCTACGTCAGTGCAATATTTGTGCTGGTAGAGAGCAGCCAGATCCCGCTGCAAGTTGGGAGCCTCAGCACGAGCCAGACTGGCCTGGAAGCTCAGCTCCTTGAGGGCTGCTGTTCCCTCATACTCCTCCACCAGGGCGTTAGAGTCGCGGACGTCCCACCCTGACAAAAGTTCCCGCATCTGCCGCGCGTGATCTGCTGAGCGGCTCGACTTCCTCCTTTTGATGAACCTCCGTTTGAGAGTTGCCAGACCAAGACTCTTCTTCTTCCTGTCTGTGGGCCGCTCATGGCCGTGCTCCAGGCTATACAGCTTTGACTCCCAGCCATATCCCTGCTGAGAGTAAGATGAGGTACCTAGAATAAAAACATATGAAGAAATTTGTTTAAAATATATTTTTTGCTAAAAGTATTAAGACAAGGGTTACTTTATTTACTGTACATTTATGACAGCTTCTTTTAAAACATGGTTGCGAACAAAAGTCTGTGGAAGCTTGCATGAAAACAGTTTGCAGATTTCTGAATCTAATCTTAAATCTTAAAAGCAGTCGTTCTGGCATACGGATACATTTAAACAGCATCACTATAAAAGAACTATATTTTGCATCTGCTTGAACTTTTACCTCCTAGAAGTTTGTTAATTGTTCATGAAAGCAATTCGTTTTACCTTTTAAACCAGGCAGCATCAATTATGGCCACGCATCAACACTCCCTCATCTCTGTGCAGATATGCATTCATAAGTTTTGTTTTCTTCCCGTCTATCCACCAAACATCCTTCTGTTTTTCCACATTTTACATTCATTTCAAAACATCCCCTAAACCAGTATTCCAACCTCAGGAGCATCTTTGAGTTGCATCTTCAAAAAAAATTAAAAAAAATCTGGACTTTGCATGTTCTTTTGAGACTGGATACTCTGGCTTCCTCCCACAGTCCAAAAATATGCACCTTAGGTTAACTGGTAATTATAAATGGTCTCTGCGTGAGCGAGTGTGTCCTGAGTGTCTTTGTGTTGGCCTTGTGATGAACTGGTAACCTAACCAGGATGAACTTCACAATCTTATTGGCTCCAGCCCACTCATAACCTTAAAAAGACTACAGAAGGTATATATAAAAAAGACTTGATGAATAAAATTGTTCAGAATCGTTAAAAAAGTTTAATAAGTTTGATTATTTTGATAACTGCGCCATTCATATCACCATTGTTTTAATTATTTTACCATCAGAACAAAGTTGAGTGAAATTTGAAAAAAACACAACAGTACAAGTAAAAGTAGACGTGTCTAAACATTTGACAGCTGATTTTTTTTTTCTGTTTTCGTTTTCATTAAATTATGTCGCCCATGCTACAATTTGAAAAGAAACTTTAAAGGATTTTTTTTCCTTCTGCCAAACATGAAACATTACAGTAGTTCAGGCTAGAAACACAACCTCCCTCTGGCACCCTTTGGGTCCGAGCACACACTGCCCTGATCCAGCTACCAAAGCACCTGGATCAAATTCAACTGCAAAATAAGATAGACATAATACCCAATTTATTTCAATGTAGACATAAAAATGAGTTATTATGGGGTAAGAACCAATTTAGAACCAATAGTTTTGTTCTGCTTTGTTCCTCGGTTCTTTGACATGTTTAGGCCCAGTCAATTACCCTAAACGGCAGTTATGTTTGGCCTGAGACTGGACTTGTACGTCAGCGGAGGCTCCGCCAAGTAGATCCTCTCTGCCTGACCTTCTGTCAGCATCCATCAGTGTGACCCAAATAGTAATCACTCAAACTCTCAATGATCTGTGCCCCAGGCCAGTTCAACTGAACTACTTCAGTTTAAAGGAAAGTTAAAAAGTCCTCCGTTACAAACTGGGATAAATTGGTTTCTGTAACAAAAACTAGAACTCATTTTGAAACTGAAATTAATGTTTTTAGTGAAAGAAAGAATTATTAAAAATAGCTATCCGAAGCAGTTCTTTAAACTCTCAGACACCAAGAACTTGGGGGGGGGGGGGGGGGGG